TATATGAAATGGTGCCTTTCTATCTTATATATGGTACATTACATATTACATGTTTACAGTTTTTCCCCAATGCCCATTACCTATATTAAATGGTGCTTTTCTATCTTTTATATGGTACATTACGTGTTACATGGTTACAGTTTTTCCCCAATGCCTATTACCTATATTAAATGGTGCTTTTCTACTCTAACCCAATCTGTGAGTGCCAACATCACCAAGAACATGGAGGGAAGGAAGAAGAGACGGGAGGAACAGGATAAACCTACATTCCTCCATCTTAAACCTCTGATCCCATGTACAAAGTAAAAACCCCCTGTACAGGTGTTAAAACCCCCTTGTACAATACTAAAAAATTCTTCCCTTTACTTTGTGACTACTTCTACTATAAAATCTAAACTTTTGTGCCTTCTTGTTCTTCCTGCAAGGTTGGTAACTCATTCCATGGCTCAAACCCAAAATCACAGCTGTTTCCAGCTGCCTGCCAGGGTCTCAAATGCTTCTGACCTGGGCCTGGAACCTCCAAAAATGTCTGAGGGACATTTTGAGTTCCAACAGAAAGCTGGAAGTGAGGAAGGTGGGACTGATCTCCCAAGGCTGGGGGAGAAGCTGCAGAGCTCACCTGGGCTTGGCCAGGGGGGCAAAATAACCTGGCCAAAAGCTTCAGCTGCAGTTCCCACTGACAGAAAAGGGTTTCTGGGATCCAGTAAAAGGTGCAGCTCCTCCTGAGCTGCTCCAATCTGCTCTGCTGGCAAAGGGTCTCCAGCTGCACAAGTGGGTGGTGGCACAGGGGACACAGGCAGGAGTTTGGATTGGTTTAGGGAGGGAACAGTTCTGCTCTCAGAAGCCTCCAAAGCTCTAATTGGGAAAAGATGGAAAGGGAAACCACAGGACATAGACCTGTCATTAACTAAAGAACACTGGGATGTGTGAAGCCCAGGGTTGTAAGAGCTGAAAGTGGCCAGGAGATGTTGGTGAGTCATTCCAGGGATCCACAGGGAATAAGAAATCCAGACAACCCAAGTGTCTGGTTGGGTGTGACTCCAGCAAAGCTCCTGGAGCCAGCTCAGTAACTCTGCCTCGGCTCCTGCTGCTGCTGTGGCTGGATTAGGGACCTGGGAGCAGTGCTCTTGCATTTCAGGAGCCACCTGGGGTAGTGCCATGCAGGGATGGAAAAACAAAACAACATAAACCTACTGCTTCCCATGGAGGTAAAAATATTGTGGTTTAGGATCCCATTTTCTCAAGCTACGTCAGGGAAGGTATAGGTTGGAGATTAGGAAAAAAAAATGTCACTGAAAGAATAATAAAATACTGGAATTGTCTTCCCAGGGAGGTGGCAGAATCACCATCTTTGGATGTGTTTAAAAAAAGACTGGACTTGAACTTGGTGCTATAGCCTAGCTGAGGTGTCAGGGCACAGATGAGCTTAGAGGTCTCTTCCAACCTCATCATTCTGTGATTCTGTTTGGAATTGTAAATGCAGGGGAAGCCAGTGGGAAGAAATTATGATGTCTGACTTCAGTTCAGAGGGCTGAATGATTTATTATAACTGTACTATAATACATTAATATACTATTTAAAGAAGATACCAAAACTACAAACCTATTTTTAATAACTACCAAATCTAACTCACAATTCATGACCCTCTCTGAGAGTCCAGCCCCAGGTGGGTTGGATTGGCCATCAGCTCAAACAATCCTCACCAGAATCCAACCAAGCATCACCCCAGGGAAACAATTCTCCAAACACATTCCACATGGGAAAACAAGGAGCAGAAATAGAAATTGTTTTCTCTTTCTTTCCTCTGTGAAAAATCCTGCAAGATGCCACAGCCACATGCAGGTAACCAAGGTGGTTCTTTCCTTCCCAGTTCCCTCCAGCAGAGCTCAAGCCAAGGACTGGAGGGACTGTGGGGTTACCCCTGGTCCTGCCCATACCACGGTGACTTTAAATCCTTTTTTGGGAATAAATAGGTGCAGTTCACCCTCAGCTTGTACAGGAGGAGCTAAACCAGGGTGTGCAGAGAGGATTTTCCCTGTGGGAGAGAGCAGGGAGGCCTGGAGTGGTTGTGTGGAGCAAAGCCAAATCCTTCTGCTGCAGACTGAGCTGGGTGGCTTTGTCTGGCAGGGAGATGATGATGGGGAGATGATGCTGCTGGCTCTTGTTTCCCCTCCTGCAGGCTCTCAGCCCTGCCATGGGGAGGTTTCCAGGCAGGTTTCCTGCCCTGCTGCCAGCCAGGGTGCCTAAGCTGATTAAAGGAGATCAGAGCTCGACAAGGGCTGCAGTGCAGGTAAACAACTGAGTTTTTCCTCCAGCTGGGAGCCAGTGGAGCTGTGAAATATGGCTCAGGAGGAAGGAATGGCGCTGGAAGAGCCCTCAGGAAAAATACCAAGAAGTGCATGAAATGATAAGCGGGGCTGATAAGGTGCCTGGTGAGAGACTGAGAGGAGAAGCAAGCACAGATACCATCAGAGCCTGTAAATGCTGTCAACATGACAGCAGGGATGAGCAGGAGAAAGAGTCATTGTTAATCTGATGGAAAACAAGCTCTGGGAGGAGCAGCCATGGGAGCAGGAGGTGTGGAGGGGATCCCCAGGAGCAGGAACACTCCAAAACCCTCAGCTGTCCCTCATTCCCAAGGCTTGCCTGGCTGTCCATCGTGTGGTCAGCACTGCATCCCCTGGCACAGAACCACCCCTGCCACCTGTGATCCTACCAGGAGCTCCCTGAAATTCTGATTTTCCAGGTGCCAGTGAGGTGTCCTGGTGGGCTGATCCCCACAGGTGCTGCTTGCCCACATCCTTCCTCTTCCCTTCCCTGGGATGGGGTTTGTGCAAGGAAACAAAGGAAAGAGGATGGGTCTGGGATGGTTCCAGGGACCCCCTGCTGGAATAATTCTGGAAGCTGTGTGTCACACGGCTGGGGAAGGTGCTCTTGGAGCAGGATTCCAGTCCAAAACTCTGATTTATTGATTCCTGATTTATTGTTGTGTCCGGTGCCACTGGGACCGGCCGGATCTTCCTCACTGGGAACGGACTGCCAGAGGTCCCCAGGGGTTAACTGGGTTAACTGGGGCCAGTCTGGGAATTCCAGCTGGAGCCCAGGAGCTGCTGGAGCCCAAGAGGTGCTCAGCAGATTCTCCACCCACCACTTGGCCTTGCTGTGCTCGGCCAGGCTGATTGGGATCCTTCCAGACCTGGTGTTTGCAGAGCTCTCCAGGTGCTCCTGGGTCCCCTCCAGGTGTTTCTGGGTCCCCTCCAGGTGTTTCTGGGTCCCCTCCAGGTCTGGGTCCCATCCAGGTGCTCCTGGGTCCCCTTCAGGTGCTCCTGGGTTCCATCCAGGTGTTTCTGGGTCCCCTCCAGGTGTTTCTGGGTCCCCTCCAGGTGTTCCTGGGTCCCCTCCAGCTGTTTCTGGGTCCCCTCCAGGTGTTCCTGGGTCCCCTCCGGCTGTTTCTGGGTCCTCTCCAGGTGTTCCTGGGTCCCCTCCAGGTGTTCCTGGGTCCCCTCCAGGTGTTTTTGGGTTCCATCCACCCTTCCTGGGCTCTCCAGGAGCACAGGCAGGACAGTTGTGCTGCACATTCTGGGACAGGGCTCTTGGGAAAGCCGCCCTTGCCAGAGCTGTCCTGGAAGGAGAGCTCACATCAAAGGAGGCAGGAGTGATAGGGATCAAATAATTGCTGCCTCTCCCCTTCCTTTACTCCTGTCACTCACGGTCTGGGGTTGTTGTCTCTGGGCAGTCCAATCCTGACTCCAGGATCTGTGTCATCCAGATAAGGTGGAGTGTGGTGATTTTCCAGCCTGGGTAGCTGTTGGAGGGAAATGAGTGGTATTTCACTGGGAGAGGACTGTCCTGCAGCCCAGCTGCAGTGGGGGGTGTTTCCCTTGGGAATGTGCTCAGGGGAAGGGAGTGGGACCTGGCTGGGGCACAGAGTGGCTCCTGTGCTGTGGCTGGAAGGGACAGAATCCAAAACCAGGTTGGATTGGAAGGGACCTTAAAGCTCATCCCATGGCAGGGACACTTCCTCCATCCCAGGCTGCTGCAAGCCCCAATGTCCAGCCTGGCCTTGGGCCCTTCCAGGGATCCAGGGGCAGCCACAGCTGCTCTGGGAAGCTCTGCCAGGACCTTCCCACCCTGACAGGTGTTGGAATCTGAGGTATTGATGATTCCCAGATTGTAAAAGTCTCTGTCTGTCAGCCCCGCTGCCAAAGCAGAAATCATAAATAATCTGTGCTGGTTCAGGGTTGTTTATTCTGTTTATCTCTAACATGTTCTGCTGCCCTGCCGCAGCTCTGTCCTGCAGGGCAGCGTGTGGGGCTCTGCCCTCAGTGGGATGGTACAAACATTAAATACCACAAACTACCTGTGCTGCATTTACAATAACGTGCCAATATCTGTCACCCACGTTGGACAGTGTGTCCCCAGCCTGAACCAACAGAAAAATGCCAACACCACAGTGAAACATGGAGGGCATGAAGAAGGAGGAAAAGGACAAGACACACCCAATTTCCTCCATCTTGTCCCCTTTGGACCCCTCATCTAGAATCCTAAAATTTTACTTTTACACCCATGCCACACTTAATTATTCCTTATATCGAACACTCAGAGCTGGTAATTCATCCTGTAAGATTGAAAACTCTTTTCCATGGGCAGAGATCACAGCCAGTGTCTCTGGGGGCTCTGTCCAGGGGGGTTCTGACCCCTGCCAGGTCAGCCAGAGGGAAGCTCTGGATTCCCACAGACAGGGAATATTTTTTTTCCTAAAAACGCAGGAACTGGAGCTCAGGGCTGTCCCTCAGTCGCTCACCTGGCGTGTCCCAGCTCTGCCCTTGGGTGCCCCGTGATTCACTGGCGCTTTTGGGGCCAAACCCACCACGGGGTGGGAATGTTCCTGAGCATCTCTGGCATCAGGAATTCCGAGGGAACAATTCAAGCAGAGCAGCCACGCTGCCTTTCTTGCTGCAGCTGTGGTGGATCCCTCACCGTGTTCTGTCTCTCCACAGAACGCCATGAACCTGCCCCCCGACAAGGCCCGGCTCCTGCGGCAGTACGACAACGAGAAGAAGTGGGAGCTCATCTGTGACCAGGTGAGAGCTTTTGGGGGATGTCTCCTCCCAGCTGCTCCATCCACAGCATCCCTGGGCTGGGCAGGACCCTGCAGGTCCCAGGAGCTTCAGGGACCCGTTCCTCCCTTGTTGTGCTGCTGGAGGTGTGGCAGTGATGGCTGTGGCCACCCCAGCCCATCCTGGGCTTCTGTCACTCCCTGCTTTGTGTCCTGGGTGTTTCCCCGTGTCCCAGAAGCTGTTTGCTCCCAGGCTGGAGGTGCCAGCTCCCACAGGGATGTTCCCTTTTCCCGCTGGTGTTTCCATCCTGGATTCCCTCTGGCTGCTCGGCGCTGATGGTTTTGCCCTGCACAGGCTCAGCCTGACCTCAGAGTCTTGGAAATAAGAGCAAATGAGCAAATGAATAAATTGTCAAATAAACAAATGAGCAAATGAGCAAATAAATGAGCAAATGGACAAATAAATGAGCAAATGAAAAAATGAGTAAATGAGCAAATGATCAAATGAGTAAATGATCAAATGAGCAAATGATCAAATGAACAAATGATCAAATGAACAAATGAGCAAATGAACAAATAAACAAGTGAGCAAATGACGAATCAAATGATCAAATGAACAAATTATCAAATAAACAAATGACCAAATGAGCAAATAAATGAGCAGATGATCAAATGAGCAAATGATCAAATGGTCAAATGAGCAAATGAGCAAATGATCAAATGAACAAATAAACAAATGAGCAAATGACGAATCAAATGATCAAATGAACAAATGATCAAATGAACAAATGAGCAAATGAGCAAATGAACAAATAAACAAGTGAGCAAATGATGAATCAAATGATCAAATGAACAAATAAATGAGCAAATGACCAAACAAATGAGCAAATTAACAAATTATCAAATAAACAAATGAGCAAATGAGCATACGATCAAGTGATCAAATGAGCAAATAAATGAACAAGTGTTCAAATGAACAAGTGATCAAATGATCAAATGAACAAATAAATGATCAAATGAATAAATGAACAAATGAGCAAATGAACAAACGATGAAATGAACAAATGATCAAATGAACAAACAAATGATCAAATGAACAAATGAACAAATGATTAAATGATCAAATGATCACACAAACAAGTGATGTCAGCCCAGGCAGTGTTTGGCTGCCCATGTCACAGGGCTGGAGCTGTCCCCTCCAGGGACAGGAGGCTGAGCCCTGTTCACCTCCAGAGCCAGGAACAAGCTCGGATTGGGCAGTGCCAGATGCTGAGGCACCTCCTCGTGAGCTGTGCAGCAATTAGCAGGATGTGATGGGTAAACAAGAATGGCATTTTGGGGGGGAAACAAAATGTGACCAAGTGGGATTTGAATTTGGGAGCCAGCAGGAAAAGGCCACGAAGTTCAGCAGTAATGGCTAATGAAAATAATTGATCCAGCACTGGGGAAGTGGGAATTTCCCTTGGGATGTAAACTCAGCACCAGGGTGAGAGCTGGGCAGGAGGTCAGGGACATTGGGATGAAGACATTTATGGGACATTTCCTATTCAGCTGTTACAATGCTGGGGTGTCTGATACAATCATGGAATTCCAGACTGGTTTGGGTTGGGAGGGACCTTAAATCCCATCCAGTTCTGACCTAAGGAACACCTTCCACTATCCCAGAGTGCTCCAAACCCATCCAACCTGGCCTAGGGCACTTCCAGGGATGGTTTGGGTTGGGAGGGACCTTAAATCCCATCCAGTTCTGACCTGAGGAACACCTTCCACCATCCCAGACTGCTCCAAACCCATCCAACCTGGCCTAGGGCACTTCCAGGGATTCAGGGGCAGCCACAGCTTCTCTGGGCATCCTGTCCCAGGGTGTCTCCACTCCCACAGGGAAGGATTTTATCCCCAATATCCCATCTAACCCTGCCCTTTGGCAGTTTAAATTCACTGCACATGTACCTTAAAATAAAGCTTATTGAAGAATTGCTTTTTCCCCATGAGTTTCCTGTGCAGGGAATGTAAAGCTTGAGCTATTTAAAGATTCAGTTTACTGAGACATTGAAAAATTGCAGGAACTGCAGCGAGTGTTTGCAGATTTCCCATCCCTGGCGGTGTCCCAGGCCAGGCTGGACAGGTTTGGAGCAGCCTGGGACAGTGGAAGTGTCCCTGGCCATGGCAGGGGTGACACTGGATGGGCTTTGGGGATGCCAAGGTTTGTGCCAGCAGGAACTGGGTGCTGAGTTCCTGCTGGCAGCAGCACGAGCAGGAGCTGTTTGATCCCAGCCTGGATGTGCAAATTCCCACCTGGGAGCCGATCCACCCTGTGCAGCCATTAATATTTTATATATAATTTATAGAATATATATATTAGATATATGTAATATATATATTATAATATATAATATCATATATATTCACAATATATAAATATTGCCGTGGAATACCTAAATAGTATATATATAAATATATTAATATTATAATATTAAAATAATATATAATAATATAGTACAATATTAATATTATAAACATGAATATTATAATTAATGTATAAATATTAATATTGATATTAATATATCAACAATAATATTAACAATACTATTCATGTTATTATTAATATATAATTGTATCTATATTAATAATGTTAATCTTCCATATAACATATTTTATAATAATAATATATATAATATAATATTAATTATAATAATATTAATATTATATGTAATATATATAATATTGTATATATTTACAATAAATATTGCCCTGGAATACATAAATACTATATATCATATAATTGTTTATATTAACATTATTTTCAATATTATTATATTAGTATATAACATATAAAATGCACTATATATTCACAATATATAAATATTGCCCTGGAATACATCAACATTATATATCATATTAATAATAATAATATTATATATAGCATATAAAATATAGTGTATATTCACAATATGTAAATATTGCCATGGAATGCCTAAATATTATATGTAATATTATTAATAATATTAATATTATATATAACATATAAAATATACTATATATTCACAATATGTAAATATTGCCCTGGAATACATAAATATTCCATATAATATTAATATTATATATAACATATAAAATACACAATATATTCACAATATGTAAATATTGCCCTGGAATACATAAATATTCTATATAATATTAATGATTATATTACATCTATAATTTGTATAACATATAAAATACACTATATATTCACAATATATAAATAGTGCCCTGGAATATCTAAGTATTATATATAATGTTAATAATAATATGATATATAATATATAAAATATAGGCTATGGAAATGGCTGGATTGCTGGGATGGGACCGAGCCAGCCTCCGGATCTGTGGGAGATGGGGAATTCTGCACATTCAGGATGGGTTTGAGACACTGCCCCCATCTCCTTGTCCATCTCCTTCCCCACTGATCCCACTCCGTGGGGCTCCACAAACTCCTTCAGGAACAGAAGAGCTCCACAAAGACCTCAGGAGGAGATTTTGGGTGCAGACCTCACAGTTTTCCTGTGGATCTCTTCATCCCGTGCTCCCACACCTCCTGTGGGGTTGATGCACTCCCAGCACAGCCTGTGGGATTCTCATCCCGAGCTGGGTGCTCCCCCAGCATCTGTGAATCCCAGGAATGAAACAGCTCCGGGAGGATAATGAGAATAATGGGAATAACATCTGGGCCAACACAGAAAAATGCCCTGAATGGCTTCGGGAGCCGAGGATTGCTGGAAAAGGCACAATTTCCTGGTTCCGGAATGAATGTGTTTTCCAGAGCTGGGTGAGCAGGAGATGTCAGGTTCTTTGTAGGATCATGAGGAAGAGGAAGTGCAGAAGTCCAGCAGTTCCTCTTGGCTGCTGAAGCAAAGCCCCCCCAGCTCCCCTTTTTTTCTGTGTCTGTTGGAAAAGAAAGTGCTAATTCTGACTGGAAGAGGCGCAGGAGAGGTGGTGTGCTCCTGGTTTTCCATGAATTGTGGGATCATGGAATGGGGGTGGGTTGAAAAGGACTTTAGAGCCATTGAGTCCCACCCCTGCCGTGGTGGCACACCTTCCACTATCCCAGGTTATTCCAGCCAGGGATCCAGGGGCAGCCCCAGCTGCTCTGGGAATTCCAGCCCAGCCAGAATTCCCAATTCCCAATCTCTGGTACTCCCTCTGGCAGTGGGAGCCATTCCCTGGCTCCTATCCCTCCATCCCATGTCCCAAATCCCTTTCAGAACTGAATCCCAGTGAATTCTCCCCATTTATTCCCCCAAAGGAAGGTGCTGGGCCCAGTTTATGTAATTTCTCTCCTGTGCTGCTGTCCTTCCATGCCCTGTGCTGCTCCATCCTGCCTCCCCAGGGATTTTCCAAGTTAGAAAGGACCTTTATCCTTGGGAATTAAGCTGGTTTGCTTTGTTGGTGGCTGACAGAGTCCCTGCTGCTCCAGTCCTTTCAGCAGATAATGCTGCAGCTCGCAGCGCTCACGTATTGGAGATAAAAAGGCTTTCGCCAGGATTTGGGAACTTTGTTGTGTCTGAATGGCTCAATCCAGCGAAGCCACCATGTCCCAGTCGTGATGTCACCCCACAGCATTTGCTGAGCAAAGTTTGGCTGCCCCAACCCGGATTTGAGGCTTTTTTTTGTGTGGTGAAAATGCCCGACCTCGTTTGGATGGTGTCAAATCCTGCCTTTGGAAGCAGAGCTGGCCAAGGAGTGGGTGGGAATTGCCAGAAGTGGAGGGGAGGATCTGACAGGAAATAAAAGCAGGGATTTTTAACTCTTTAACTGTGGTTTCTAAGGCACAGCAGTGCTTTGGGAAGTGTGGGTGTTGGGATGCTCCCAAGGAGGACCATGAGAGGATCCTGGTGGATTCCAGGAAGGTCACCCTGCAGCCAGCTCCATTCCCAACCCCTCGGAGCTCCCAGTCAGATTTTTGGGAAGAGGGTGGCTGTGACCAGACATCCAGGGTGACTTGGAGGCCTCACAGCACAGCCTGGCCCTTGCAGCTTATTAATCAGCCCCTAATATAAAACACTCCGAGCTGGATAAACCCAGACAGGAATCATAGCCAGGAAAGGGCAATTTTAAAGGCTAATCCCTGGTAGCTTTCCAAACCAGCAAAAAAGAAACACTTGAGGGGGCTGTAAAAATGTTTTCAGGCCTAGGAGATGTTTACCACAAGTAATTTTTGGTCACTCCTCAGGTAGGAGAATTGCTGGTGTTTGCTGCTCATGGATAACATATGGAAAGTCCTTTAACCCAAATAATTCCACTCCACAAGAATCAGCGTCGTCTTTTTAAATTATGTTGCTGCAGAGATTATTACATTAATACATAATTGCAGCCAGGTTTGAAGAAAACAAACAAAAACATCCAGTAGCTGCATCCCAGACTGTTAAATGTGCTCCTTGAGTCTCTTGGAATGTTTAATTTTGAGCATTCCAGGCAATTAAAGCTGGTGGTTGGGAAAAGCTCCTGTCACTTCAGCAGACAAGGGTGGATTATGTGGGAAGAGGAATTAATCCAAAAGAGCTTCTCTGGGGGATTGGAGTGAGCACAGCGCTGTCAGCAGCACAGAGCCCCAGGAAAGGGGGGAATAAATGGGAGAGGGAAGGTGGAGCCTTGTTGGGATGGGACACTGCTGCCAGGAGCTGGAATTGGAGGATCCTTAAGGGCTCTTCCAACCCAAACCACTCTGGGCTTCCAGGAAATCTCTGTCTGCCCCATGGGAGCCACTGAGGTCAGCCTGGCTCCAGGAATCCCTGAGAGAGCCAAGAGGAATCCACGATGGTGGACATGGTGCTGGAGCAGGACAGGCCCTGCTGGTGTCACTTTGTCCAGAGAAGAAGCCTCAGCGAAGAACTTTGCATTTTCTGAGCTGTTTTTTAGATAAAATAGGAAATGCCAATTCCAGAGCTGCGTGGAGGTGCATGGAAAAAGAATCCAGGTGTAGAAGAGGAAAGCCCTGAGTGCTCTGTGACTTCCACCAGGGCTGGTGGAGCTCAGGGAAGAGTTTTTCCTTCATTTTTTTCCTGCTGGCCGTGATGGATTACTTCTTTTCCAGCAAGCAGCAAGATAATAACGGGAAGAACTTGTGGTGTTCAGGCAGTTCTGGTAACTGGGCAGGGGTGTCCTGTTCATTCTGGAATAACCTCGGGATAATGCAGTCAGAATTGCATCCTGACCTAATAAAGGGAGGTTTCAGATAAAAGAGGAAATTTCAGGAGATTGGGATGAGATCTTTCCTCCAGGGAAAGGGGCAGAATAGCTTAAAGTCCTTCCAAGATACAAGTAGGATGAGAATCTTTGGGAATGCTGTGAGGAGGTTTGGACACAGCACAGTGCTCATGGAACAGCTCGTGCTTTGGTGGGATAAACTTCCAGCTGGACACTGGGAAAGCAGGGAAAAATCAGGGAGCTCTCAGCAGACAGAGCTGGTGTTTGTCACCCAAATCTGTCATCTGGGGCTGAGGGGGGAATGATTGGAGATTCAGTGATCCCTGCACTCAGGGCAGGGATGGATGGGAGACTGGGGAGGAATTCCTGGCTGGGCTGGAATTCCCAGAGGAGCTGATGCTGCCCCTGGATCCCTGGAAGTGCCCAAGGCCAGGGTGGACAGGGATTGGAGCAGCCTGGGATAGGGGAAGGTTTTCTCCAAGTGATTAAAAAGGATTTTGTGTTGGTGCTGCAGCTGCTCTCCTGACACTTCTCCTTCCTCTCCATGCTCCTGCTGAGCAGAAACCCTGGAACTTCAGATGGATGTGCAGCTAAAATTCAGAATTCCCACTGAATGTTTAAGGTGTCTTTTTTAAACTGTTGATATAAATATCAAGATCCATTTAAATCTATTTTAATTTCATGCATACATTATCCACTTGGGAACAGAATGTATTACAAATCTATATTGTTTAATATATATGCGGTGCATGTGTTTTCTGGGTAAACACAGAAAAACGGCTGATGTTTATTCCTGCCTCTTTTCCAGGAAAGATTCCAAGTGAAGAATCCTCCCCACACTTACATCCAGAAGCTGAAGGGATATCTGGACCCAGCAGTGACCAGGAAGGTGAGGAGCATCCTGTTTCCTCCTGCCTGTCCCTCGTTCCTCAGCCAGGATGGTGCTGGGGTCCAGGTTCCTTCCTGCCTTTGTGCAAATGCCCTGGAAAGTTTCAGGGAGAAGCAAAGAGAAATTGGGAATTTGGTGCAGTTTTCCAGCTTGGGAAGGAGAGCAGATGTTGGGAAGCCAAGGACCATCTGACACGGAGCACAGCTTGTTTTAATAATGTTGGCTTCAGGAAATAATCTGAGAAATTGTCCCTGAGCTGGGCTCTAGGTCTGGCTTTGGCCAAACCCCTGTCTGATGGCCCTTTGCTCACCCTGAGAAGGGCTGTCCGAGTTTTGAGTCCTTGTCTCTGGGAATTTGCCTGGCAGAGGCTCAGTGCAGCTGAGGGCACTGTTTGTTCATGGTGACAGCTCCCTCCATGGGGATCAGCTCCATCCATGGTGACAATTCCCATCCATGGGGATCAGCTCCATCCATGGAGATCAGCTCTATCCATGGTGATAATTCCCATCCGTGGGGATCAGCTCCATGCATGGAGATCAGCTCTATCCATGGTGGCAATTCCCATCCATGGGGATCAGCTCCATCCATGGAGATCAGCTCCATCCATGGGGATCAACTCCATCCATGGTGGCAATTCCCATCCATGGGGATCAGCTCCATCCATGGGGATCAGCTCCATCCATGGTGGCAATTCCCATCCATGGGGATCAGCTCCATCCGTGGAGATCAGCTCTATCCATGGTGATAATTCCCATCTATGGAGATCAGCTCAATCCATGGGGATCAGCTCCCTCCATGGGGATCAACTCCATCCATGGGGATCAACTCCATCCATGGGGATCAGCTCCATCCATGGTGATAATTCCCATCCGTGGGGATCAGCCCCCATCTGTAGTGATCAGCTCCATCCATGGTGACAATTCCCATCCATGGGGATCAACTCCATCCATGGAGATCAACTCCATCCATGGTGACAATTCCCATCCGTGGGGATCAACTCCCTCCATGGGGATCAGCTCCATCCATGGTGACAATTCCCATCCATGGGGATCAGCTCAATCCATAGGGATCAGCTCCATCCATGGAGATCAACTCCATCCATGGTGACAAATTCCCATCCATGGGGATCAACTCCATCCATGGGGATCAGCTCCATCCATGGTGACAATTCCTGTCCATGGTGACAATTCCCATCCATGGTGATCAGTTCCATCCATGGTGACAACTCCCATCCATGGTGACAGTTTCCTTCCATGGAGATCAGCTCCATCCATGGGGATCACCTCCATCCATGGGGATCAACTCCATCCGTGGGCGTCAACTCCGTCCATGGTGACAATTCCTATCCGTGGGGATCAACTCCCTCCATGGGGATCAGCTCCATCCATGGTGACAATTCCCATCCATGGGGATCAGCTCCATCCATGAGGATCAGCTCCATCCATGGTGACAACTCCCATCCATGGAGATCACCTCCATCCATGGAGATCACCTCCATCCATGGTGATCAGCGCCCATCCATAGAGATCAGCTCCATCCATGGGGATCAACTCCATCCATGGGGATCAGCTCCATCCATGGAATTCCCTCCCAACATCCCACCTGAGCCTGCCCTTATCCCTCTTCCCCACTCAGCTCTCATTTAGGATGGGAATGTGCCACAGCAGCTGCTCCAGAGGGATTTCTCCGGCTGTTTCAGCACCTTCCCACGGGCAGGGAGAAGAGGATGCTCCAACCCTGCTCCAGCTGGGATGGAGGAGCCCCCCTGGCTCTCTGCCACCTCCTTTTCTAAAGCACAGGGGCTCTGCAACCTTCAGGAGAAGGTTTGGTGTTAAACCAAAGCTTGGCTTACAAAGAAACGTTTATTTATCTCCAGGCTTTTAATTAATCCTGGAAGCTTCTGTTCCTGGGAGTTCTCCACACGTGTTCCTGTTGACTGCTGGGCTGTTGTTGCTGCATTCCTGGGGATTTAGAGCAGTTCTCAGTTTCCCCCATGTTTTCTTCATTCCCTCTGTGCTGGGTGAGATGTTGATATTTTTTAATAGAGCCTAATTGTTATTTTTGCTGCTCATTCCATTGCAGAAATTCAGGAGACGAGTCCAGGAGTCGACTCAGGTGCTCCGAGAACTGGAAATTTCCTTGAGGACAAACCACATTGGGTGAGAATTTCTGATGCCTCTGGTTCAATTTAATTTTTTAAATTATTACTATTTTTATTTTTATTATTTTTATTTTAAAATTGATTTTATTTATTAATTTATTTTTAAATTCTAATTGTCTGTCTTTGAGAATACACCCCTTTGCGTGTCAATAAGTGATGCCACTTGATTGCTAATTAAAGCCTGATGGGCTTAGTTAAGGGGAGCTGGGCATCTCAGGAGGATAATTCAGCTTTAATCCTTTCCTGATGGATTCATCCACATTTTTCTGAGGGCTGAGGAAAGGTTGGAATTAGCTCCTGCTCAATCAGAGCACAGGGAGTGAAGCTGTGTCCAGAATAAATATATATAAATTTCTATATATATTTAATAAATTCATAAAATATAAATTTTAAATTTTAGATAAATAATAAATTATTTTTAATAAATAATAACTTTCGGATTTTTAAATTTTAAATTTAACTATCAATTTATGTATCACCCCCCTCAACTGCTGTCTTATAGTTTTAACATGGAGCCTGGCTGGGAATACCAGCGCCAGGATTTATCCACAAAGCAGCAAATCCCAAATTGCTGCGGTAGAATTTTTAAATCAGAGTTTAATTTTTTATCAGACATCCCTTTCCCATCCTCATTCCCACCAATTTCACTTTCCTGTGGGACAGAAGCTGGTGCAGCCCTGCTCATCCTGGATTTGGGATGAGCAGGAGGAACCTGGGGCACCCATGGGTGCTCCTGGATTTGGGATGAGCAGGAGGAACCTGGGTGCTGCCCCAGGGCAATAAAAGAGGGAACAGCATTTCTCTGGGACCCCTGGCTGAGGGATTCTGTCCAAAACAACCTTTTATAAAACACCAGGCTGGTTATTTTCATGGGGAAATGATAAAAAATGTCCCTCCTGAAATCAGAGCAAGTCAGAGGTGATGAATTCCCACTCCACGAGTCTGGAATTCCCATTCCCTCTCTGGATTCCCTCATTCCAGAGGCACCCAGCCACTCCCAGGGAATTTGCTGCCCTAGTTGGGGTTCAGAGAAGAGCTGGGGCTGTGCTGAGCTTCCTTTCCCCTCTGGCTTTGCCCCTAAATGGATGGATTTTAAATTTTTTCTTGGCATTTTCAAAGCTTTGGGACATAACAGACTTTCCTGAATTATTCTGCATAGCCCAGGGGCCAGAATTCATCGTGACAGGTGAACACCTTTTAAAAAAATGAGGCAGAATTGCTGTTAAATATACACCCAGGGTATCCATCAGAGATTCTTTTCCTGCTTTTACAGCCTGCTGGAAACCAGGATGAGATAAAAACTGAGCCAAGTCCCTGTGTTAGGAGCTGACCTCCACAGTGCTGCACAAAAACTGAATTTCAGTTCATTTGGAAAGGCATCTAAAGGACTCTTTAAAGTCTAAATCATTTTGAAAACATTTTTTTTTTTCCCTGAGTGCTGCAGTGGCTCTGACTCCGGTTTTTCTGAGAATTCCAGGGAATCCCAAAGCCCCAGCACGGCTCTAATGTCTGGTGTTCCTCTCACAGGTGGGTCAGGGAGTTCCTGAACGAGGAGAACAAAGGCCTGGATGTCCTGGTGGAATACCTGTCCTTTGCCCAGTATGCAGTCACGTAAGTGAGACATTCCTGGGATTTCCTGCCAGGAAATACATGGATATTAGGGAATATTCCTTCATTCCAAAGGGGTGAAGCATTGCACAGGCTGCCCAGGGCAGTGGTGGGGTCCCAGTCCCTGGAATTGTTCAAAAAGTGGTTTAGTGGGCATAGAAGTGTTTGGTGGTTCTGGTCTTTTCCAGCCTCAATAATTCCACGATTCTGTGGGCCTGAGAGCAGAGGGAATCTTGATGTGAGTCTGGAATTATTTCATCACAACAGACAAAAAAAAAAAAACCAAAAACCTGAATTTAAACCTTGAGATTATTCATCTCTATCCCTATTTTTTTATCTTTGGTCTTGGAGCATCTTAGGGGTGCAGAACCCATCCCACAATGTGTGGAAAGATGCAGAGTTCCTTGAAAATAGGTTTGCAGTTGGTGTCTGAGCCCAGGGTTTGTATTCCTGCTGTGTTCAAAGGGATTCCCTCCCTGCAGGCGCTGCTCCCGAGGCTCCTGGCAGCATCCTGGGCTGCTGGGCAGCAGATGTGCTGCAGCACAACTCAGGAGCAATTCCAGGGGTGTCCTCAGAGTTGGGAAGACTGGAAATAAGGTTTTTTCTGGCATCTGGGACGTTGGGATCAGATTGAGTTGTTTGGGTCATAAATCATGAGGTGGACTCTGAAAAACCAGTGGGGAAAATCAGCTTTAAGTGGAGATCTTCAGCTCAGACGATGTTTTATGATCATGGAATCAGCCTGGAGTGGTTTGGGTTGGGAGGGACCTTAAATCCCATCCCTGCCGTGGCCAGGGAGCCTTCCACTACCCCAGGGTGCTCCAAACCCCATCCAAGCTGCCTGTGGATAACTCCAGGCATGGGGAATTAATCCACATTCATCCAGGATTTTTTTCTTGGCATATTTTTTTCTATAGAAATGAAAGAGAAGCCTTAGGTTAAAGATAATTTTGGAACAGAAACTCAAGCTGGGGAGAGCCGATAATTTATTTTTAGCAAGGCTACCATCAGATTTACGTCCCTCACTGCCCAGAAAAGAGATTTGTGGTGGGGTTGCAGGAAAATTTATGAGGGAAAATCCTATGGTTTCAAATGTTACCCACTGGAAAAAACCGTGCACAGCAAAAAGAAATGTTTGTACAAAGCCTTTCTTCCTAAATTTATACAAATGTACGCAAGGAGCTCGCTGGGTTTTTCCCCTCTCGCACGGGGAACATGAGTAATAACCTCAGGAGCTGGAAGGGGAACAAGCAATTCCTGCTTGGAATGGCGGAACAACAGGCAAGGAGTCAGAAATCAGAGAATCTGGGGTGGTTGTGGTGATAGCTGAGTGTTTTGGGAGGTTTGTGGGGCTGAACTGGGATGGAGGAAACCAAAGTGGTACTTGCACAGCTGATTTATGGAGATTCACGGGAGACAGCCCCCAGAATTCCCAGCTTTTCCTCCCAGGCAGGGATATTCTTCAGCAAGCAGCCAGTGCTGGATTTATTTTATGTTGAAGAAGCTGTTAGATCCTGTTTGGATGTGTCCCTGAGGGATTCAAAGCCCTGAGCATGTGGCACTTGGGGACAAGGGCCACTGGTGGCCTTGGCAAGGCTGGGAATGGTTGAATTCCATGGTCTTGGAGGGCTTTTCCCAACCTGAATGAACCTGTTGTGGAATTTCCTTCCCCGTGTGAAGCTCATCCTGTTTCCCTGGACTTTTTCGTGTCCCTCCAGCACCACAACTCTCCTTTCCCATCATTATTCCACCTGTTGGGCTCACAGAACCTTGGAATTGTTTGGGTGGGAAGGGACATTCCCAGTGCTGGTGGATCACTTGGATTTGATGGCCTTGGAGAGCTTTTCCTTTGCTTTGGTCCCGTTTGGCTTTGTCGTGTGATGCTGAGATTCCACCAAAACCTGCGGCGGGAGGGAAAACTCTCCCACCTAACCCGGCCTTGGAATTCCCGTTTCCTTGCAGGTTTGACTTCGAAAGCCTGGAGAACAGCGTGGAGAGCTCCATGGACAAGTCCAAGCCTTGGAGCCGCTCCATCGAGGACCTGCACAGGGGCAGCAATCTGCCCTCTCCCGTGGGGAACAGCATCTCCCGCTCCGGCCGGCACTCCACGCTGCGGTACGGACCTGGGACGGGACTGTGGGACAGCTTCTCCCTCCAGGATATCCCTAACTGCCCTCTGAGCCCGGCAGAGCCAAGGAATTGCTGCTCTGAGGTGGAAGGAGCCTCTCAGGGGCAGGAAGCACTTCCCAGGGCAGGAGGAGCTGAGGACGCGTTTCCTCTGCTCCAAAATGTCGCCCAACGTTCCCATGGACACGTGGAAGTTGGGGCTCCCACCCCGTGGCCTCTCTCTTCCAGCAGCATGTTCCTTCTGTGCTGCCATGAATGGGATGTTGGATTCTTTGGTATTCCTAGGGATATTGGATTCTTTCTTTTGGATATTGAATTTCTTGGGATATTGGATTCCTTGGGCTATTGGATTCTTTGGGATATTGGATTCTTTGGGATATTGGATTCCTTGGGATATTGGATTCCTTGGGATATTGGATTCCTTGGGATATTGGATTCTTTCTTTTGGATATTGAATTTCTTGGGATATTGGATTCTTTGGGATATTGGATTCCTTGGGATATTGGATTCTTTTGGATATTGGATTCCTTGTGATATTGAATTCTTTGGGATATTGAATTCCTTGGGATATTGGATTCCTTGGGATATTGAATTCCTTGGGATATTGGATTCCTTGGGATATTGGATTCCTTGGGATATTGGATTCTGTGGGATATTGGATTCTTTGGGATATTGGATTCCTTGGGATATTGGATTCCTTGGGATATTGGATTCTTTGGGATGTTGGATTCCTTGGGATTTTGGATTCCTTGGGATATTGGATTCTTTGGGATGTTGGATTCCTTGGGATTTTGGATTCCTTGGGATATTGAATTCCTTGGGATATTGGATTCTTTGGGATATTGGATTCTTTGGGATTTTGGATTCCTTGGGATATTGGATTCTTTGGGATATTGGATTCCTTGGGATATTGGATTCCTTGGGATATTGGATTCCTTGGGATATTGGATTCCTTGGGATATTGAATTTCTTGGGATATTGGATTCTTTGGGATATTGAATTCCTTGGAATATTGGATTCTTTGGGATATTGAATTCTTTGGGATATTGGATTCTTTGGGATATTGGATTCTTTGGGATATTGGATTCTTTGGGATATTGGATTCCTTGGGATATTGAATTTCTTGGGATATTGGATTCTTTGGGATATTGGATTCCTTGGGATATTGGATTCCTTGGGATATTGGATTCTTTGGGATATTGGATTCCTTGGGATATTGGATTCCTTGGGATATTGGATTCTTTGGGATATTGGATTCCTTGGGATATTGGATTCCTTGGGATATTGGATTCTTTGGGATATTGGATTCTTTGGGACACTGGATTCTTTGGAGAGGCCACTTCCCTCCCCCAAACCTGCTGTCACCCTCTCACCATTCCACAATTGACTACCAAATCTCTCCTTCCCAGCATTCCTTTTTTAGGTTTTATTTATGGAAAAGGCAGGATCACTTTCCAGAACTGGGTGACAGTCACCTCTCTTCATTCCTTGGATGTCCCACTCCAGCCACCAGTGCTGTTCCTCAGGATGCAGCTCAGAGCGCTGGATCCTTTGGGATTTTTTTTTGGCTTTTATGGAGTTTTGTTCCATAATCCCGTGATCATAGCAGAGCCCAAAGGTGGAGTCACTTCCAGCAGAGGTGGTTTTGGTGTGCCAGGCAGTGCCCTTGGCCCTGGCGTCGATGTTGGGTGGCTCCAAACCTTGGAAGATTTAATTCCCAACCCTCAGGCAGTGCAGAGGAGGAGAGCTCTGGGGAAGAAATGCAGCTGTGGAGAGCAGCAGTTAATTTAGGGTATTTTTTAGTTAATTTAGGGTATTTTTTAGTGGTTTTGGTGTTCTTTGCTCCTGAATTGCCCTGCCAGAAGTGGCACTCCAGAGCGGGATTTTGGCGGAGAGAGGGAAACATGGAAGCAAGAGCTGAGTTCTCCTTATCGTGGTGCAAATAGTTGTGTTTGATACCTAAACTTAGAGCTTTTAGTCCTCAGCTCTGTTATTTCCCCTTTTTTGTTATAAATAGAGACTTTGCTCATGGCCAAAACTGCCACGGAAACGGGACCTGACAGAGTTTTCCAGCCAAAATTTTCCTTCTGTCTGCAGAGCCATCTTACTACTGGGACAGCATTTTTGGATTGGATTTTTGAGTTGTTTTTTTTTTTTGTTTGTTTTTTTTTTTTTTAATCCGTGTTTTAAAATCTGCATTTTTAATATTCTTTTAAATGGGTATTTTATTTTTTCTTAAAGTGTGTTTTTTAAAAGTATGCAGTTTTTTAAAAGTCTGTTTATAAAAATGTATTTTTTCAATGGGTGGGGATTATGTGTGTTTGAAAAAAGCTGAAAGCTAAGGGTAGGTGAGAGATTTCTAAGAAGAGAAGGGTTTTTTATCATTCTAATTTTGAATTTTAATTTTTATGATTAGTAAATACCGGTGAGCTGAAGGAGAAACCTTTCCTCAGAACAAGGCACGTGCTCAGCTGAGGAGAGGGTACAGGGTGGTTTTTTTGGGCAAAACCAGGAGGTTCTGCCTCATCTCTGGGTGATAAATGAGATTTTTTGAGATGTGGGCTGGAAGATTTGGAGGAGAAAGGAGAAGGCTGAGAAGATTTTGCCAGGATAATGCAAAATTCGGGAGCTGGGCTGGGTGGGCAGATCTGTGTCCGAGCTCCAGGACCTTCCCTCCCTCATTGCAGCCCCAGCTGCTCCTCTCAGTGCTAAAGCTGCCAATTCCCTGCTCCCTGTTTCCCTGGCAACTGAGAGGGGATTTTTCCTAAAGAGGAGGCACAGGGATTTGGGAAAGCAACACCAAAATGAGGGCAGGAGGATGAAAAAAGGGGAAGAACCTTTGGGGATTTCGTTGCTGCTTTTTTGGGAGAAGGAGCTTTGCTTTTCTGCTGTCAGATAAATATTAATGCAGGCTTTGCAGAGGCCCAGCCCATTAGAAATTCCCTTTCTTCTGAGGAAAATACTGGAGTTTTCATGTGGATTGAACTAAGAAACTTCAGTGTGGAGTCTGTGAGGAGAGAAGGATCCAGGCAAACCCAGAAATGGGCTTTGATAATTTGGTTTAATTTGACACGGTTTTGGGAGCTGCAGTCTGTGAATTTGGGCTTTGCCAGTGACACTTTCACTGCTCAGGGGCTTGGGGAAATTGTCCTTTTATCAGATCCTTCCTAATGTACCAGAACTCTTTGTGAGCAGCTCCAGGAGATCACAGAAACCCCAAACTGCTGGGACGAGCCAAAACCTTCCTTTCTGAAGGAAATTTTTGCTGTCAGTTGATAAAAACCCCAGAGTTTCCAACCCACCACCAACAAAATGACAGGAATGGAACCCAAACCCCCCCAGCCCTGATGAACTTCAGCTTCTCACCTCTGTGAGACCCACCCTGGGCTGCTCTCCTGGGAGCCAGGGGAGAACAGGATATTTTTAGCAGCTAAAAGGGTGAAAATGATGGGAGAAATCAGCTGTGATTTGTATTAAATTGGGGCATTCAAAGTCTGCACCACTGGACTGGGCATGTCCTGGAATTCCAGGAGGGTTTGGAATCTAATTCCAACCTTCCTCCCACTGCCCCAGGGTGCTCCAAGCCCTGTCCAGCCTGGCCTGGGACACCTCCAGGGATCCAGGGGCAGCCCCAGCTGCTCTGGGAATTCCAGCCCAGCCAGGAATTCCCAATTCCCAACCTCCCACCCATCCCTGCCTGCATCCTTCCCTTCTCCAGGGGAACATTCCCGGGGCTCTGAGCTCTGCCTGGATCCTTCCCTTCTCCAGGGGAACATTCCCGGGGCTCTGAGCTCTGCCTGGATCCTTCCCTTCTCCAGGGGAACATTCCCGGGGCTCTGAGCTCTGCCTGGATCCTTCCCTTCTCCAGGGGAACATTCCCGGGGCTCTGAGCTCTGCCTGGATCCTTCCCTTCTCCAGGGGAACATTCCCGGGGCTCTGAGCTCTGCCTGGATCCTTCCCTTCTCCAGGGGAACATTCCCGGGGCTCTGAGCTCTGCCTGGATCCTTCCCTTCTCCAGGGGAACATTCCCAGCTCTCCCAGCCTGGCTTCAGAGGTGCTCCAGCCCTGGGAACAGCTCCATGGTCCTAAAATATAAAAAAATGATGGAATTGTTCTTTAACAGAAACATTTCTCTGTCAGATCTGGGTGAGAAAAGGAACCTCAAACTTTGTTCCAGCCCAGGATCAGCCTTGGCTGTGCTGGTTGTTGGTTTTCCCAGGATGCTGTTGAAACCCTGCTCTCTTCCTCATCCTCCTCACCCCAAATCTCAGGATCAGCTCCCTCCCCCCCTGTGCCACCCCCCTGCAGACCCTTCCCCTCTGCAGGGGCTGTTCCACAGGCTCAGCTTTCAGCTCCTGCCCTTCTGCAGGGGAAGGGTTTTGTAGTTCCCCTTCCAAGGAGGGGCCGTGGAAATGAAAGAGGAACCATCTGACTTTAATTAGCAGGATAAATATCCTGGGGGTGACATCATCTGGGACCTGCAGCAGACAGGAAATCAAACCCAACCAGTCCTCCAGCTGCTGGGCCAAGCCTTGGGGAGCCAGGGCTGAAGGGAAAGCAGGAGAAGCTCAGCCACCCTTTCCCTGGCTGGTGGAGCACAAGGGGAGGTGTCGGAGCTGCCCCACCTTGGGGAGCAACCAAAACCATCAGGGAGCCTTGGGATGGCTGCAGACACAGGGAAAAGCATCCCCAGCCTGAATTCCTGGGGTTCCTGTACCCAAATTCCTCCTGAATGCTTGGTTCTGGTGGCTCTGGGAAGGAATCCGTGTGCTGAGGGGCTGGGCTGGGAGGCCAGGGCAGAATTCCCTCTGTGCTGGATGGGCACAGGAGCTCCAGGGATGTTCCTGGGCTGGGCCTGGCACGGGGCAGCTCTGGGAGCTGTGCCCAGAGGAAGGTGATGCCAGGCAGGAACTGATCCCAGGAAATTCCACCTGGACAGGAGCAGAACTTCCCTGGACACTGCCCACACCCTGAATGGAGTTTTCTCCCTGAGGATATTCCAGAATCATCTGGAATGAGCCCATCCCATCCCACCCTGCCACGGCAGGGACACCTCCCACTGTCCCAGGCTGCTCCAGCCTGGCCTGGGACACCTCCAGGGATCCAGGGCAGCTCCAGCTGCTCTGGGAATTCCAGCCCAGCCAGGAATTCCCAATTCCCAACATCCCACCCATCCCTGCCCCCTGGCAGTGGGAGCCATTCCCTGGCTCCTGTCCTTCCATCCCTTGTCCCCAGTCCCTCTCCAGCTCTCCTGGAGCCCTTCAGGCCCTGCCAGGGGCTCTGAGCTCTGCCTGGATCCTTCCCTTCTCCAGGGGAACATTCCCGGGGCTCTGAGCTCTGCCTGGATCCTTCCCTGCTCCAGGGGAACATTCCCAGCTCTCCCAGTTTGCCCTGGGGAGGTTTAGGAGGGACATCTCAGCTTGGGAAGGTTCTATCCAGGTGGTTGGACCCAGGTTGAAATTCCAGGCAGATCAGACTCAGTGCTGGATGTGCTGGAGTATCCTTGCTTCCCAATTCTGTTTTTCCAAGCACCTGGAAATACCAAAATCTGGATTTGTGGCAATTTTTATTGTTTATTCCCCCCATTTCTTAGAGCCAACAGAACTGGTGGATGCTTCAATTCTGAAATTTAGGGATTCACCAGGCACTGAGGAAATTAATTTTCTTCCAACAGTGGCGTGATAAAAATCTCATTAATCTGATTTAAAATGTATGGAAAATAATTCTGCAGCCCTTCATAATTTAAATCTGAGATCCACCATTTTAGGAACCATCTCTGTGGGACTAAAAGTACTTTAATTCTTTTTTTCACATTTGGTGAAATGAATGTGCACTCCTTTATAATGATACATTCTTTTATAACTTAAAATTTATTTTATGATTATTTTAATTAATATATATTAAATGTTTATTATTTAATATATTTATATTATTTAAACTATTTATTACAGACACTTTATACATTAGTTAATATGGAGTGCTGATCTCAAACTGGGTCACATCTCCCAAAAATCCTGCAGTGCCCTGAGCTGATGGATTCATTCATATTTATGGATGGGAAAAAAAAAAAAGGAAAAAACTCCTTTGATAGAATCCTGCTTTGGATTTGGGGATTCTTTTCATCTCAGCAGGGCTGGGAAGGAAAAGCCCAGGGGAGGGATTGTGGAAATCTGGGAATTGTGGGCAGGGTGGGCACAGGGAGCACCCAGCCCTGGTGGGGGACCTTGTTCCTCTTGGTTTGTACATTTAAAAAGGAGGAATTTGCAGGGATGAGCTGGGAAGCCACAATAAACTAGTGTGGTATTCCCTGTTCCTGATTTTATAATGGATTTAAACAGGGAATTTTCAGCCAAGAAGCATAAAACACTGTGGTGGTATTCCCTGTTCCTGATTTTATCATGGATTTAAACCAGGAATTTTCAGGGATAGGCTAGGAAGTCACAGTAAACTGGTGTAGTAGTCCTGGTTTTGTACATTTAAAAAGGAGGAATTTTCAGGGATGAGCTGGGAAGTCACAATAAACTAGTGTGGTGTTCCCTGTTCCTGATTTTATCATGGATTTAAACCAGGAATTTTCAGCCAAGAAGCATAAAACACTCCGGTGGTATTCCCTGTTCCTGCTTTTATTGTGGATTTAAACAGGGAATTTTCAGGGATGAGCCAAGAAATATGAAAAACTGGTGTGATATTCCCTGTTCCTGCTTTTATCATGGATTTAAACCAGGAATTTTCAGGGATGAGCTGGGAAATCACAATAAACCAGTGTGGTATTCCCTGTTCCCGCTTTTATTGTGTATTTAAACAGGGAATTTTCAGGGATGAGCCAAGAAGTATAAAAAACTGGTGTGGTATTCCCTGTTCCTGCATTTATTGTGTATTTAAACCGTGAATTTTCAGGGATGAGCTGGGAAGTCACAATAAACCAGTGTGGTATTCCCTGTTCCTGCTTTTATTGTGGATTTAAACGGAGAATTTTCAGGGATGAGCTGGGAAATCACAATAAACTGGTGTTTTATTCCCCATCCTTGCCTTTTTTATGGATTTAAACAAGGAATTTTCAGGGATGAGCCAGGAAATGACAATAACCAATGTAGTATTCCTATTCCAATGTAATATTTCCACCGATGCTTTCTGCTTGTGTGGAAAACTCCTGTGTCCTCCCCTGGTGGGGGATATTCCCTTTCCTGTGGCAGCACATTTCTCTCCCTCTCAGGATTTTTCATAGAGGAGCACAGAGAGAAGAAAGAGAAAATAATTTCTATTTCTGCTCCTTGTTTTCCCATGTGGAATGTGTTTGGAGAATTGTTTCCCTGGGGTGATGCTTGGTTGGATTCTGGTGAGGATTGTTTGAGCTGATGGCCAATCCAACCCACCTGGGGCTGGACTCAGAGAGGGTCACCAGTTGGGAGTTAGAAAAAGTAGGTTTGTAGTTTTAGTAAGTCCTTTATATAGTATATTAATGTATTTTAGCATAGTTATAATAAAGAAATAATTCAGCCTTCTGAACTGAGTCAGACATGGTAATTTTTTCCCATTGAGTTTGCCTGCATTTCCAATACTTTCCTTTCTTGTCCCTGCCTAAAGCCAGTGCCGTGGCTGCTGGAAAATGGGATTTTTGTGCTTTTTTGGCAGGTACAACACCCTGCCCAGCCGCAGGACCCTGAAGAACTCACGGTTAGTGAGCAAGAAGGACGATGTGCACGTGTGCATCATGTGCCTGCGGGCCATCATGAACTACCAGGTAATGCCAGCAGTTTCTGCCTGCTGGCAGCGGGACGGGGGATTTTGAAGGAAAAATTGGTGGGAATATCGGAATTCTCATAAAATCGGAGTGAATGGGACACAATGATGTTGTTTAGGGATTTAGGGAAAGGGCAGTAAGAGCCTGGATGTGATGGGCAAGCTCCTGTTCATTAGATATGCAGCTAATTGGGTTATAATTAGTCTGGAGTTTAGGTATATTATTATAAGTTATAAAGGAAATAATGTATTATTATTATTTTATATAAACAGGGAGGTGGGATTGGTGAGAAGCTTTTAGAGAGGTGGGATTGCTGAGAAGCTTTCAGGGAGTTGGGATTTGTAAGAAGCTTTTAGAGAGGTGGGATTGGTGAGAAGATTTCAGGGAGGTGGGATTGTTGAGAAGCTTTTAGAGAGGTGGGATTGGTGAGAAGCTTTTAGAGAGGTGGGATTGGTGAGAAGTTTCAGGGAGTTGGGATTTGTAAGAAGTTTTTAGGTGGGATTGGTGAGAAGTTTCAGGGAGGTGGGATTTGTAAGAAGCTTTTAGAGGTGGGATTGGTGAGAAGCTTTAAGAGGTGGGATTGGTGAGAAGAAGCTGTCAGGGAGGTGGGATTGTTGAGAAGTTTCAGGGAGGTGGGGTTGGTGAGCAGAAGCTGTCAGGGAGGTGGGGTTGGTGAGAAGCTTTCAGAGGTAGGATTGGTGAGAAGCTTTCAGGGAGTTGGGATTTGTAAGAAGCTTTTAGAGAGGTGGGATTGGTGAGAAGCTTTTAGTGGTGGGATTGGTGAGAAGAAGCTGTCAGGGAGGTGGGGTTGGTGGGATTTTGGGGTCAGACCGAGGCAGGATTGTCCCTTCTCTCTCCAGTACGGATTCAACATGGTCATGTCCCATCCTCATGCCGTCAATGAGATTGCACTGAGCCTGAACAACAAGAACCCCAGGTAGGCTCCTCTTGCTGCTCGGGTTGGACAAGCAGGTGAGTAAAGAGGGCTTGGAAAGGGCTCCCAGAGGGGGATTTGGAGGAGAAACCAGGCTTTGCTCTGGATCAGGTGGAATCTGGAATGGTGCAGATGAACCAGCAGTGCGTGTCTGATTCCAGGGCTTTCAGAAGCTCTGAAAGTTCAGAAGTTCTCCAGCTTTAATTGTGGCTTAAGGCTGAAGGAGGGGGGACTTAGGTGGGACACTGGGAAGGAATTCATGGCTGGGATGGAATTCCCAGAAAAACTGTGGCTGGCCCTGGATCCCTGGAAGTGTCCAAGACCAGGCTGGGAGAGTGGAAGGTGTCTCTGCCCGTGGGCAGGGGTGGCACTGGATCATCTTTCACCAAAACCATTCTGGAATTTTAGGATTCAGCAGAAATTTGGCTGCTGGAGCCCTTCTGCTCTGTTGCAGTGCAGGGAAACCCCAGTGGCAATGAGCAGCTTCATGTGGGATTTTCCTGAAGAGAGGGAGAATCTTCTTTAGGGAATGTTATCCAAGATCCTTAGCCTGGAATTTTTTGGGAGAGGTTTGAATTCTGTTCTGGGTCAGGTTGCAGCCACAGCCAGGATGCTGTAATTGCTCAGTGGAACTGCTGGTGATTCCATGTCCCTCCTCTCCCACACATCCCTGTGATCCCTCCTCCAGCAGATCCTGGAGTTCTGAACCTTGGCAGGTCAAAGCAGCCCAGCTCTGACACAGAGATGTTTCCAAGGAAAAGGAGCTGATAACCTCACTGGATGTGTATTCCCAGTCTGGACTGAGGCTGGGAGCAGGAATCTTCTGAGGGAAGCAGCTTCTTCCTTCTTTATTTTATTCAGCCCCAAATCAGCAAGCCAAGAAATGTGAAGTTCATTGTTTTTGTAATTTTTATCATCATTTTTTATCATAATTTTTATCATCATTTTTTATCATAATTTTTTATCATTTTCCAGTGGCTGGAAATCAGGGGAGAACCCAAGTTTTCACTTTTGGAAGAAGTGGTTTATTTCTATTTTGGTGGATAAAAGAACTGCTTTGAAATGTGACTGGAATAAGCTGAGGACTAACCCCTGCTCAGAACCCAAACTGTGTTTTAACCCCGTGGGAGCTGCTGGGGAGCCCAGGGCTGGCTGGGATGAGCCATGGGGAAGCAGCAGCTCCAGGGAATTCTGCTCACTCCAGAGGTGTGGGCAACACTGGAAACTCCAATCCCAGAGATCTCCATCCCCTCCCCTCAGAGGGAATATTGCAGCAAATCCCCACCACAGCTCCTTGATCCTGAAAAAAAACCTGCAAGTTCTTCTTGTGACAGGAGGAAAAAAAAAACAAACAAAAAAACAACAAACCCTTGAGGAGGCAGAATTGAACATTCCATTTAAAATTTCCTAGGGAAGTGACCATTTTTTCTGGTTTCCAAAGATAACCTTGATCCTTTGAGAGCCCACAAGGTATTTCTTGTTCTGTAACATCTGCTTTGAGTCGCTGCTTGAGCATGGGACTAATTTTTTTCCTGTGTGTGCATGGTTTGCCTCTGCTCAGAGCTCAGCTGCCCAGAAAGTCTTTTGTTTTCCAGGAATCCTGGAAGGAAATACTGTGGATTATTTCCATGAGGGTTACACCGAGTTTGCTGCATGTTTTTCCCTCAGTGATCTCCTTTTCTCTCTGCTTCACTGCTGAAAATCAGCTCAAATTCCTGATTTTTAAGGAGAAGGACGTGCTCCAACAGCCTGTGTTCCTGCAGTGAATTGTGTGTGTGGGGGGGGCTATAAATACAAATTATCACAGGGAATAATTCAGATTTCTGTCAGGGAAACTGCAGATTGGAATTTTAAGCTGTTCCATTAAAAACTGGCCTCCGAGGAAGGCGGTTGGGGGTGCAAAGCTGCTCCTCCAGGTGTGTGCAGGGAATTCCCTGGGTGCCTTTGCCAGGGTTCCTCCAGTGCCTTTCTGCTTGAGTTTCCAACTCGGGATTTCAATCCCTGCATGGTTTGAGAAGCTTTAAAAAAGAGGGGGGGAGCTGCATGATGGCAGGAGAGGTGAAATTCCCCGGAGCAGCACCGTGCACCTTGCAGGGATGTTCATTCCCAGGGCTGAGAGCACACGGGGCGAGGCTGCAGCTCCCACCCTGTCCCCGGCAGGACCAGGAGCTGTCCCTCAATGTCCCTTTTTTCTCTCCACAGGACAAAAGCCCTGGTCCTGGAGCTCCTGGCAGCCGTTTGCCTGGTCCGAGGGGGCCACGAGATCATTTTGTCTGCGTTTGACAACTTCAAGGAGGTTGGTGGAGCAAACTTGGCTGGCCCCACTTCTCTTAGGGTGGGTTGGAGCCTGCTCATCCAGCTGAATTCCCTGCAGGAAGGGTTTTCCATCAGTGCAGGTGTCCCCTGCAGCACCCTGGTGTCCATTCCATGGTCCCTGTGTTGATGCAGAAGAGATTCTTCCAGTAATTTGAATTATTATTAATTCCAACAATTCCAGCGCCTTTTATTCCCAGCACCTCCCAGGGCAGGCAGAGTGCTGGAATGGGATATCCCAGCTGAGCTTATCTCAAATAATAAAAACCTACAACAAAATAAACGCTCCTCAACACAGAACAACAATTCAAAGAAACATCTTAAAAAAACAATTGAAAAAACTTCTAAAAAAAACAAATCAAAAACTCAAAAAAACCCCTCACAACTCTCCGTGTAACCCACCAACAAAATGATTCCACAAATATAATAAAACAAAACTCACCAAAAAAACCACATTTCAAGTATAAAAAATTTAAACATATAACAAAATATTACCTAAAATCTACAAAAAATACACAAATTGTTATCCCAAATACAACAAAAACCACTATACAAATCAGTACTGTTCCAAATACAAAACAAATAAAAACCTTTTACCATAAAAGGTGTTCCCCAACAAGTAAAACAATTATATAAAAATACCAATATTAATAATCATTCAACTACTGGAAATAATAATAATTCAAATTACTGGAATAATATTATCCATATTTTCTATATTTATGCAAAAGAATTGTAATTCCAACAATTCCAGCATCTCCCAGGGCAGGCAGACTGCTGGAATGGGATATCCCACCTGAGCTTATCTCAAATAATAGAAACCTACAACAAAATAAATGCTCCTCAACACAGAACAACAATCCAAACAAATGTCTTAAAAAAACAATTCAAAAAACTTCTGAAAACAACAAATCAAAAACTCAAAAAAAACCCTCAGAGCTCTCCGTGTAACCCCTCAACAAAATAATTCCACAAAAGTAATAACAACAAAACTCACAAAAAAAACCACATTTCAAGTATAAAAAATTTAAACATATAACAAAATATTACCTAAAATCTACAAAAAATACACAAATTGTTATCCCAAATGCAAAAAAAAACCCACTGTACAAATCAGTACTGTTCCAAATATAAAATAAATAAAAACCTTTTACCATAAAAGATATTCCCCAACAAGTAAAACAATTATATAAAAATACAAATATTAATAATCATTCAACTACTGGAAATAATAATAATTGAAATTATTGGAATAATATTATCCATCTTTTCTATATTTATGCAAAAGAATTGTAATTCCAACAATTCCAGCACCTCCCAGGGCAGGCAAAGTGCAGGAGTGGGATATCCCAGCTGAGCTTATCTCAAATAATAAAAACCTACAACAAAATAAATGCTCCTCAACACAGAACAACAATCCAAACAATCCAAAATGCATTTCCCAACATGGACTCTCACCCAACAGAGGTGCTGGGTTGTTTTAGTACAAAAATATTCCAGAAAAATGGGATACGGGAGGGGAGGTGTGCTCGTGGCATCTCTGGGTGGGAAATCAGCTGGAATTTACAAATAAACCCAGGATTCAGGTGCTTTGGAAAAAAAAAACCTCAGAACTGAGGAGCTTTTCTGAAGGTGTCCACGACTTAGAAGAATCCAGTGTGTTTTGCTCCAAGGCAAGAAGAAATGCCAAGAAAATAAATTGGGATACAGCTCATCCAGACAGCTTTTGGAAGGTCACTCTGGAATTCTGATTGTTGCACTGATTTATTTTCACTCCTCCTTCAGCCAGGGATAATTTTCTCTTTTTTCCCCTCCCTGTCATTTGGGTTTCTCCCTAATTACAGAGAAAAGTCAGCTCTGAGCTGTGGCACAGCCTGGTGCAACTCTGCTCCTTCCACTCATGGATAAGATCCAATTTTTTAAGGAGAAAAGAGATAAAAAGAGTTCTTTGGTAATTACAGATGCACAGGAGTTGTGCCTGGCTCCTCAGCCTCACGCTGCAGGTGCCCACATGGAATTATTTCTGATATTTTAACGAGAGGAAACCTGGCTGGAGAGGGTCTGAACAAGCAGATAAAGTGTGTTTGGAATGATTTTTGGGGCTGACCCCAGGTGTGCTGCTGCTTTTCAGGTGTGTGGGGAGAAGCAGCGCTTCGAGAAGCTCATGGAGCATTTCCGGAACGAGGACAACAACATTGACTTCATGGTGAGTGGGATTTTCCAGAAACTTCTGGGTTTTCCATCATTTTCTTTCCATGGCCCTGCTGTCTCAGGCAGAGCTGTAGCTGCAGGGAGGGTGTTGGTTTCAGGGCTGATGGCAAAAATCTCCCAAATCTGAGGGTTTAAGGTCTTTGCTGAAGGATGAGAAACAAATCCTAATTTAATCAGGAAAAATCTCCCTTGAATTCCTGCTCAGTGCTTGGATCCGATGTGGATCCGTTCTGAGAAGGATTTCCCACCCCAGCACTGGAATTCTGAGGCCTCTGTTGCACTTTGTATCAATATAATAATAACTATTATATTTTATATATTATTATATAATATATATTATATATAATAATATGATATATAATTAAAATTGTATTTAATATTTAAATAATAATTATGAATATATTAAATGATATATTAACTACTCTATGAAATGCATAAGTAAACAATACAAATATATTAAATAACAAATATTTACAATGTAGTATTAATTAATTATAAAATAATTATAGAATGAATTATAAGTTATAAAATAACATATTATTATAAAGGAATTTAGTCATATTATATTTATTTATTAGTCTGGAGTTTAGTAGTTACTAGCTTTGTGTAAGAGACCTTTTTCTGCCAAAAATCAGGTGTTGGAGCAGCAGTGAGGTGATTCCTGGGGGCTTTGAACGCTCCAGGAATGTTTCCAGGACAGGATCACAGCCCTGAGGGCCAGCAGGTTAAACATGGTGTGAGGGAGGCAGGCTGGCAAATTCCTTGGATTTAAAAAAAAAAAGGAGGAAATTACATGATCCTTGCATTTCCCCTCAAGGCACCCAGCCTGGAGTTTCAGATTTATCCCATTCATTTTTCCTCTGGGCCCTGGGACAGATCCCAGGGAAGTGGCCAAATTCCAGTGCCAAACTGGTGATTCAGGGGGTGCCTTCAGTTCCTTCTTCCCACCAAATGACCCAGAATCATGGAGGAAAATCAGATTGCTCAAATCCTCAGGTTCCTCCTGGAAATCTGGGAGGGATCCTGGTGGATGTTGGGATGCTGCAGGATGGGGTTTTATCCATGAGAAACCCAGCAAAGATGAGGGAAATTCCTTCCTGGAGCAGCTCCCAGAGAGGATCCTGAGAGGCCTGGGGGTACCTGGGCACAGCAAGGTGTGGCAAGGGAAGGAAAATTGTTGGGATTTGTACCCCAATTCCTGCCACTCCAGACACCCCATACCCTGGAGAGGCTTGGGGTGTGTGTGGATGCCAATCCCTGGGATTTGCTCCTTGTTCAGCTTGGGAAATGTGCTGTGGGCAAGCAGCAAAGCTCTTTTTGTGCAAATTCCCTTTCCTAAACTGGGGCTTCCAGGCTGGATTAACCTCACTTTTACAGGCCCAGGTGAGTGTCCCTTTCCCAGCTGTTTAAAACAAGGCCCAGGTGAATCTGCCTTTTCCAGGCTGTTTAAACTCAAACCAAGCTGAATCTCACTTTTCCAGGCTGTTTAAAACCAGGCCCAGATTCACCTCACTTCTATGGGCCCAGATTAATCTCACTTTTCCAGCTGTTTTAAAACAGGCCCAGATTAATCTCCCATTTCCAGACTCTTTAAAACCAGGCCCAGATGAATCTCCCTTTTCCATGCTGGTAAAACTCAGGCCCAGGTGTAATCTGCCTTTTCCAGGCTGTTTAAAACATGGCCAGGATTAATCTCCCTTTTCCAGACTGTTTAAAACCAGGCCCAGATTAAGCTCCCTTTTCCAGGCTGTTTAAACTCAAACCCAGATGAATCTCCTTTTTCCAGGCTGTTTAAAACCTGGCCAGGATTAATCTCTCTTTTCCAGGCTGTTTAAACCCAGGCCCAGATTAATCCCATTTTCCCAGGCTGTTTAAACCGAGGCCTAGGTGAATCTCCCTTTTCTTGGCTGTTTAAACCCAAGCCCAGATGGAATCTTCCTTTTCTTGGCTGTTTAAAACCAGGCCCAGATAAATCTCCCTTTTCCAGGCTGTTTAAAACCAGTCCCAGATGACTCTCCCTTTTCTTGGCTATTTAAAACCAGGCCCAGATGAATCTCCCTTTTCCTGGTTGTTTAAAACCAGGCCCAGATGGAATCTCCCTTTTCCTGGTTGTTAAAGCCCAGGCCCAGGTGAATCTCCCTTTCCCAGGCTTTTTAAACCCAGGCCCAGATTAATCCCATTTTCCCAGGCTGTTTAAACCGAGGCCTAGGTGAATCTCCATTTTCTTGGCTGTTTAAACCCAAGCCCAGATGAATCTTCCTTTTCTTGGCTATTTAAAACCAGGCCCAGATAAATCTCCCTTTTCCTGGTTGTTTAAGCCCAGGCCCAGATGAATCTCCCTTTTCCTGGTTGATTAAGCCCAGGCCCAGATGAATCTCCCTTTTCTTGGCTGTTTAAGCCCAGGCCCAGGTGAATCTCCCATTTCCAGGCTGTTTAAACCCAAGCCCAGGTGAATCTCCCTTTTCTTGGCTGTTTAAGCCCAGGCCCAGATGAATCTCCTTTTTCCAGGCTGTTTAAACCCAAGCCCAGATGAATCTCCCTTTTCCAGGCTGTTTAAACTCAAACCCAGATGAATCTCCCTTTTCCAGGCTGTTTAAGCCCAGAACTGTTTTTTCAGAGCCTGCCCTGGCCTGGGCAGCATTCCTGCTCTGGGGAGGTGACTCTGCAGACAGGATTTAATTCCTGGAATGCTCATTCTCCATCATCCCAGCAGACCAAAATTCCCTGAGCCCAGTTCAGGACAGCAGCTGATGGTTTTCCCTTGGAGGAACCCCAGGGAAATGTGCTGAGCCCAGCCTGGGCATCCTGTCCCAGTGCTGGTCCCACAGATCCCATTCCAGCTCTTCCTGGGGATACCTGGCACTGGGGATTTGTGGAGGAATTTTGAATAAATTAGAGATGTGATTTCTGGGTTGCTTTTGATGATGCAATTTGTTTTTCTTATCTTCTGCAAAAGAAAGAAAGGTCGGTTCACATCTTCACCACACGGCTCATAAGGTCACAAAACCTCTAAATATAGGAACTTTTAAAGATTTATTAACCAATAAAACATTACTAACAAAGATATTTAAATTTTTAACTTAATCTGTAAATATTTCATCTTATGAATTCATGTTATAGTGTAAACTTTCTTGATCATATTGTAACACGCAAACCTACAATGCTATCTTCTAAACTTATTTACCTTTGTAACTACTTTCATTTTTTTCTGTATCTTAAACTCTGAAACACTAAACTTTCTTCTTCTTAACTTTGTGTGTCTCTCCTTTAAACTATAAATCTACATTCTCACTTCTATCGCTTCAGAGTGATAGAAGATCACTCTGAAGACAGAAGTTCATTTCAAAGATCAAATCCTGTGTTTATTTCTCAGATAAAATCCCATATTTAACTCTGAATTTTGGCTGACAAGCCCAAGGTTCTGAGAACTGCCTACATTTCAAGTTCCAGCCCCTGGGCTCAGCTGGGGTGTCCTTGCAGGTGGCCTGCATGCAGTTCATCAACATCGTGGTGCACTCCGTGGAGGACATGAACTTCCGAGTGCACCTCCAGTACGAGTTCACCAAGCTGGGCCTGGACGAGTACCTGGATGTGAGTCTGGGGCTGCTCCCATTCCAATCCCCCTTTCCCAATCCCCTCTTCCCAATGCCCCCTTCCCAATCTCCCATTCCTAATCCCCTCCTTCCCAATCCCCCCCTCCCAATGCCCCTTTCCAATTCCCTCCTTCCCAATCCCCCTATTCCCAATGCCCCCTTCCCAATGCCCCCTTCCCAATCTCCCATTCCCAATCCCCTCCTTCCCAATCCCCCCTTCCTAATCTCCCATTCCCAATCTCCTCTTTCCCAATTCCCATTCCCCCCTTCCCAATCCCCCCATTCCCAATCCCCCCATTCTCAATCCCCCCATTCTCAATCCCCCATCCCAAATCCCCCATCCCCAATCCCCCATCCCCAATCCCCCTTTCCCAGTCCCCCCTTCCCAATCCCCCATTCCCAATCCCCTATTCCCAATCCCCCTTTCCCAATCCCCCTTTCCCAGTCCCCATTCCAATCCTCCCCTTCCCAATCCCTCATCCCCAATCCCCCCTTCCCAATCCCCCCTTCCCATTCCCCCCATCCCCAATCCCCCCATTCCCAATCCCCCATCCCAAATTCCCAATCCCCCTCACCCCGCAGCTTCTGGGCTGTCCCACAGCTGGAGGGGCCGTGGCCAGCAGGGCAGGGCTGCAGCGGCTGCAATTACAGCCTGGAGCTAAATGTGGAGCCTGATAACAAAGGGAGGATGAACCACAGCCATCCACCCTCGCCCTGCCACGTCCCCCAGCTCCAGCCACGGGGCTCCCTCCTGCTCCAGGCTGGAGAAGTCTCCTCTGGGATTCTCTGCTGTCTGGCTGTCAGCTGCTTCTTTCTTCCCCTTCTCTATTTTCCATGGCATCCCAGAATCTTTGGGGTTGGAAGGGACCCTAAAGAGTTTCTCAATCCCCCCTGCCACATGCAGGGACCCTTCTGCTGTCCCAGGCTGCTCCAAACCCCTCCTGGGACACTTCCAGGGACTGGGGCAGCCACAGCCTCTCCAGGCAGCATTTTTCCCCCTGTCCTTGAGAGCACATCCATGGAAACCCTGCTGCTGTTGCCTTGTCCCTGCAGATTCCAGCTCAGTGTCCACCAGGAGAGGGATCTGGGGTCTGTGGGATGTGTTTGGATAGGGCTGCACTGGCCATGGGTGTGTTTGGGGTCTGGGGGTGGTCTGGGGACTCCATGGGACCAGGCAGAGCCTTTCCCAGCAAAGAGAGGAAATCATGGAATGGTTTGGGCTGGAAGGGACCCTAAAGCTCCCATTCCATGGGCAGGGAAGCTGTCACATCCCCTGGAGGGACAGAGGATAAGACCCTGCCTAACTGAGCTGGGGGTGTTTGGGGTCCAGAGGGTTTCCCTGGGTGGTGGAGGTGCCCTGAGCTGTGCCAGGGCTCGCTGTCACCGGTGTCCCCTGTGTCCCCTGTGTCCCCTGGGCCCTGCAGAAGCTGAAGCACACGGAGAGTGACAAGCTGCAGGTGCAGATCCAGGCCTACCTGGACAACGTGTTCGACGTGGGGGCTCTGCTGGAGGACGCGGAGACCAAGAACGCAGCCCTGGAAAGGGTGGAAGAACTGGAAGAAAACCTTTCCCACGTGAGTGCCCACGCTGCCACCTCCATTCTGGGTGGGCACAGCCCAGTCTGGGGGGAGGCTCGCTGGGAAAAAGCCTTGGGATCCCTGGGATCCAAGCTGGGAAAGAGTCAGACACTGGCTGTGCTTCCAAGGAGGATTCACCTGGCACAGGGAGCCTCTGCTCAGGTGTTGCAGCTGGGAGAGCTGATTTCCATGAAAAACTTCAACTCCTCAGCACAGCAGGCCCAAAATAAGGGAGAAAAAAACATCCTGGGTGTGCTTTAAACAGGGGCTCAGGAGGGAAGGGGCTGGAAAATCTCTTGTGTAGGTGCTCAGGGTTTACTGTCCCAAACCTTGGTGTCAGGCCCTTTAGGCTGGAAGACACAGCCTGGCTCTTGGAAAATAATAAAATAAAAAAGGGGTTTTCCATACTTTAAAACTGAGAAAAGGCTTTTCCTTCTCTCAGCATCCCTGTATGCCCATCACTTGGAATAAATAATGTTCTTAATTCACTGTGCAGTGTTTGCCCCTCTGGGGTGTTGTAGAAGCCAGGGAATGGTTTGGGTTGGCAGGGGCATTAAAACCCTTCCAGTTCAAGCCCTGCCACAGGCAGGGACAGCTTCCACTATCCCAGGCTGCTCCAAACCCATTCCAACCTGATGTCTCCCATCTCAGGCAGGAGTCTGTTCTCTTTCCAAGGAAAGGCTTAGGGGTTTCCTGCAATATCAATAATTTATCCATTTATCCAAGATGGATACCTCTTATTTTGATGGATAAACCCCCAGGTTTCCAGTTCTTTAATCCATTTCTCTTTTGCTGGGTAGTTATCTGAAAAACTCCAGGACACGGAGAACGAAGCCATGGCCAAGATTGTGGAACTGGAAAAGCAACTGATGCAAAGGAACAAAGAACTGGACGTGATCAGGGTGAGTGGGACAGGGAAGCCCTGGGTGGATTCAGGATGCAGGGAATGGAGATCACGGAATCCTCTTGGCTTCCCAGTATTGAGCCCTGGGCAGCTTCCAGGTGGAATTGTTTATATGTGCCCTCAAAGGATGGACAGAAATCCCTTTGCATGTGCCAGGAATCACTGAGTGAGGTGGGTGCATCTCATTCCCCAGGTCTGGAGCATTCCAGGTGGGAGTTTTGGACCTGTGGAGGTCCCAAAGGGTGTGAGAATCCAGAATTTCTGGATGGGGGGCTGCCCTGGGCATGTGCAGCGCAATCCCCTCTGTGGATCAGGCTGTTCTGATCCTGCCCTTGGAATTCTGAATGCACATTCCCTGCTCCTGTGTCATTCCAGGAGATCTACAAGGATGCCAACAGCCAGGTTCACACCCTGAGGAAGATGGTGAAGGAGAAGGAGGAAGCCATCCAGCGCCAATCCACGCTGGAGAAGAAGATCCACGAGCTGGAGAAGCAGGGAACCATCAAGATCCAGAAGAAAGGGGATGGGGACATCTCCATCCTTCCCGTGGCCCTGGCGTCGGGGATGGTGCCAGCAGGAGCGGAGGCGGTGCCAGGGAGCTGTGCCACACCTGGAGCTGCCTCCTCAGTGCCACTGCCCCCACCTCCACCCCCCCTGCCTGCCCTGCCGGGCTCACCTGAGGCAGGTGAGGAAGGGGGGACACCCCAGCTGTGGGCACCAAACCTCCCTGGGCAGCTCCAGGGCCTGACCTCCCTTCCCATGGGGAAACTCCTCCTGATGCCCAGCCCTGAGCCATTCCCTGTCCCTGTTCCCTGGGAGCAGAGCGTGACCCCCTCCATCAGCTTTTCCATGGGTGGAAAAATGGGTCCTTTCTTTCCTGAGGGCACTTCCAGGTGCTGAAGGCCTCTGGTGGCTCCAGTGCCTGACCTCCCTTCCCATGGGGAAACTCCTCCTGATGTCCAGCCTGAGCCATTCCCTGTCCTCCTGTCCCTGTTCTCTGGGAGCAGAGCCTGACCCCCACCTGGCTGCCCCTCCACCTGCTTTTCCATGGATGGAAAAATGGGTCCTTTCATTCCTGAGGGCACTTCCAGGCGCTGAAGGCCTCTGGTGGCTCTGGGTGGGGAGAAGACATCACAGGAATGCTGTGGCTCTTTCTTTGTGCCCCTTCCCTCCATGATAACTCCATTTTCCCTCCATCCCACAGTGCCCAACGGCCCCGTGGCAGTGCCTGTGCCACCTCCACCACCTCCACCACCTCCTCCTCCTCCTCCTCCTCCTCCTCCTCTCCCGGACGCGGCTCCAGCTCCGCTGCCGCCTCCGCCGCCGCCCTCGGCTCCCCCCCTGCCCGGCACCTCGCCCACCGTGGTCTTCAACTCTGGCCTGGCAGGTAAAGCTCCCTGAGAGGAGGGCAGGACACCCCTAAACACACCCACTGTTCCTCACCAGGGTTGGGATGAGCATTCTGGGCTCTCTGAGGTTGCCCAGAGGAGCTGTGGCTGCCCCGTGCATCCCTGGAAGTGTCCAGCATGGAGCAGCCTGGGATGGGGGAACTGGATAATCCTCGATGTCCCTCCCAGCCCAAACCAGTGTGAGATTTTGGGATTTGTCCACCCAACAATTTGGGGTTGGTCTGGAAGAGTCGGATTCTCCAGTGGAACAAAAGTCACACCGAAAGTATTTTATAAACAGGGTCGTTTCTGACTTTGACAGAAAATGGGTTTGATTTCTTCTGAGAAGTATCTGTGCAAAATTTGCGATTTTTTTGGTGGGAATTTGGGAAGAAAAGGCAAAATTTGGGGATTTTTTGGAAGGAAGGGCAATCTGCTGCCCATCCTTGCCCGTGTTTTAGTCCTGCCAGGTGTCCCAGGGACTGAGTGAGGGCTCACTGCTGTCCCCAGAAATCTCCAGAGCTCCTTACGAGTCCAAAGCAAGAGACTCCCATTAAGAACCTCGTTAAAGACAAAAAATCAAATTAAATATTCCAGCCTTTAACGGTTCCTTGGAAGACAAAAAGCATTCTGGATCCGGAGGGTCTCGGGTGTTTTGTAGGAAAATCCAGCTCCAAAGAGAGGGCTGATCCCTCGGGGTGTGGCCGTGGAGGTGCCTGGGGGCTGCTGAGCTGCAGATCCCATTTCTCAGTGGGAATTCCGAGGGAATGGGACTGGGAGTGTCTTTTCTGGATGCCAGGGGCTCTGCAGGAAGGAGCATTCCCAGGGCAGGAACGCTGTGGGGCCGAGGGGAGTTGGGAAATAACAAATGCTGCTTTTCTGACCTCTCCTAACACTTGTTTCTCTGTTCCTTCTGCTTCCTCCTAAGATGGGCCCATCAAGCTCTTCTGTAGGTTCCTTCCTGCTAAGTATTCCTTATCCTGGCATTCCCTGTGTCCTGGGGGTTCCAGGGGATGGGCAGGGGGAGGTCGGAGCCAACCCTTGGGTTTGGGCACCCAGGGCTCAGGAAGGGGGGAGGAGGAGGAGGAGGAAGGGGAATCTGAAGGGGATCTGAGCTCTGTTACCTTTCCCATGAGGCATTCCTGCCTTCCCTGTCCTGGAATAACCTGGGAGCAGTTAATTATCCATTCCAATGTGTGCACAACTAGAAAATTCCTTTTTCCATGGGTGTTCAAAGCTATTCCTTCTTTTCTTTTAGGAATTTTTTAAGTAACCCCATTGATTAAGCAGAGAGCAAAATCCTGTTTAGTGTAGATGAGCACAAGTTGGATAAATACAATTCCCAAAATACCTACTGGAATATTCTGTGTATTTCCTGTTACCCACTTAGTGTCCAGCACTGCAGGACTGGGGTTTCTGTTCCATATTTATCAGATTTTTTGGGAAGTAATTCAGGAGCAAAAGGTTGATTGATGGACTTTAATTCATTGATTTTTGTAGCAAGGAAAAATGTTGTGTTCTCATGTGAGGAAAAGGAAATGGGAACTGGATTATGGAAATTATACATGTGGCTTCCAGACTGAATGGAATAGGGAGAGGAATGGAATGGGAAAGGCAGTAGGAATAGAAATAGAAATAGAAATAGAAATAGAAATAGAAATAGAAATAGAAATAGAAATAGAAATAGAAATAGAAATAGAGTTGTTCCCTTGCTCAGCCAGGCCTCATTTCCAGGTTTCATTTTCACAGTGCCTCTGTTTAAATTCCTAATTTCTCCAAAGTTCCCAAATTACCTGAATTTGCTGGATTTGCACAGCATAGGATTTAAAACCTGTTTTTAAACCCCTGTTAAAGCCCAGTTTTCCTGCAGCTCAGCCCCTTTGGCCTTGAAAGTCAGACCTGCTGAGAGCTGCCCCACTGCAGTTTCCCCAAATCCCATTTCCCAAAGCCTTGGGAACGGGGCAATTTTCCCTTCCCTTGTGACACAGCTCAGAGTGGGCTGGATCCACCCACTCTCCCCCTTTTCCATGGAATTTGGACAGAGCCTGGGAGTTCAGACCACTCCAGGCAGCTCGTGCAGGGATCCCAGCTTTCCCTTTGGGAGGTTTGCAGAGCCCTGTGGGCTGGGACTCTCCTCTCCAGCAGCCTCTGGAGGTAGAAACACCTTTCCAGGATCCCAGTGGGACAATCAGCTCTGCCCAGTTCCTCCCCAGTGCTGGAGCCCACCTGGGGAGCTCTCTGGGGCACTCCCAGGCGGTTCTCCAGGAGCTCCCCCTGTCCTGTCCCCAGCTGTGAAGATCAAGAAGCCCATCAAGACCAAGTTCCGCATGCCCGTGTTCAACTGGGTGGCCCTGAAGCCCAACCAGATCAACGGCACCGTCTTCAACGAGATCGACGACGAGCGCATCCTCGAGGTGCCCCTGCTCCCTCCCCTGCTCCCACAGCCTGGAACCCTGGAATGGTGGCCTTGGAAAAGCCTCTCAGACCCCCCAGCCCAGCCCTGCCACATCCACAGGGGGTTCAATCCCTCCAGGCATGGGCCAGGAAGGAAATCACCAGGATTTCCTAATATCCAGCTGAAGCTCTGCTGGAGCAGCCTGATTCCATTTCCTCTCCTCCTGGCTGCCCCCTCCTGTCAGGGATCTGTGGGGAGTGGGAAGATCTCCACAGGGATAGGGCACGGCAGTGACCTTGGGACAGGTCCTGGATGCTCCCACGGATGCTTTAGCCGTGGATGGGTGAGGCAGCAGTGCTCACCAGTGTTTTCCTGAATTTCTGAACACGTGCAGAGCTGTTTGGGGCTGGATTTCTGGCATCTGGCCAGCTCAGGAGTGTGTTCCCTCCATCCCTCAGCCTCTGGGTTCCAAATCCAGGGTTGGGAAAACCTGGGCTGGTGGAAGGTATCCCTGCCCATGGCAGGGGCTGGAACTGGGATGAGCTTTAAGATTCCAACCCAAGCCATTCCATGATTCCATGGCCCTGTCTCAGCCACCACAACGCTTCCCCTGCAGTTGTGGATTAGGATTTAGCGTTCCCTGCAGGATAAATCCTTTCCTTTCCCTTCCAGGATCTAAACGTGGATGAATTTGAGGAGATATTCAAAACGAAAGCCCAGGGCCCAGCCATGGATCTGACCTCCAGCAAGCAGAAGATCCCTCAGAAAGGATCCAACAAGGTGACGCTGCTGGATGCCAACAGAGCCAAGAACTTGGCCATCACCCTGCGGAAAGCCGGGAAGACGGCGGACGAGATCTGCAAAGCCATCCACGTGTGAGTGCACCAAAGGAATCCTGCCCCAGGCTCCCTGGGAAGTGCTTTGGAGTTGGCAGCTGATAGGAAAAATTCCAGGGGAAGGATGGAATGCTGGTGGATTCCCAGAAATCAGAATTTGATTCGTGTTGCTGAGTCGCTGTTGGGGTTGGCCAAATTGGCGCTTCCCTTATTAAAGCAGCTGGTTCCAGCTTGCCGTGGCAGCCCCACGGATTTTCCTGTCCCAGTGAGCAAAATCCAGAGGGAACCCAGGAAGAGGCAGCTCTTCTGGCTTGCTCCGTGAGGGATGAGTTTAGTCCAGGGCTGGAGCAGATTGTGCATTGAATTAGGTTTGGGAATGGCCTTGGGATCTGATAGGGATCCTTCCCTGCTCCTTGGGGCTGATCCCAAATCCATCCAGACCCATGGGGGCCATGGCAAACATTTCCCACTCCTCCCTTAAGGAATATCTCCAAAATGTGGATGTACAAGCTTTGTTTTTGCTGAGGGTGACCCAAACCTGCCCCAGGTCCTGGCTGGGCTCTGGGCCATTTAAACACAAATATTTGCTCCTCCCCACCTCTTTTCCCTGGAAAAGCGAGCCTGGAGGTGGGGGGGGAATGGCCACATGTTTGGAAGTGGAAGCAGAATCATTCCCATTATCCCTGGATCCTGTTCCCATCTGCATGGACAGGGCAGGAGGAGCTTCACAGCTGCTTCTTTGCTTTTCTTCATGTGGAGCTGAATCCCGGGTTGGGAGGGACTTTAAAGCCCATCCACTTCATCCAGGGACACCTCCCACTGTCCAGGCTGCTCCAGCCTGCTCTGGCAATTCCAGCCCAGCCAGGAATTCCCAATTCCCAATCTCCCACCCATCCCTGCCCTCTGGCAGTGGGAGCCATTCCCTGGCTCCTGTCCCTCCATCCCTTGTCCCCAGTCCCTCTCCAGCTCTCCTGGAGCCCTTCAGGCCCTGCCAGGGGCTCTGAGCTCTGCCTGGATCCTTCCCTTCTCCAGGGGAACATTCCTGGGGCTCTGAGCTCTGCCTGGATCCTTCCCTTCTCCAGGGGAACATTCCCGGGGCTCTGAGCTCTGCCTGGATCCTTCCCTTCTCCAGGGGAACATTCCCGGGGCTCTGAGCTCTGCCTGGATCCTTCCCTTCTCCAGGGGAACATTCCCGGGGCTCTGAGCTCTGCCTGGATCCTTCCCTTCTCCAGGGGAACATTCCCGGGGCTCTGAGCTCTGCCTGGATCCTTCCCTGCTCCAGGGGGACATTCCCAGCTCTCCCAGGCTGGCCTCAGGGCAGAGGGACACCCATGGAGTGTCACTTCCCTGTGAGCTCTGTCCCCAGAGCCTTTTCCCGGGATGTTCCCGCAGGTTTGACCTGAAGACGCTGCCGGTGGATTTCGTGGAGTGCCTGATGCGGTTCCTGCCCACGGAGAACGAGGTGAAGGTGCTGAGGCTGTACGAGAGGGAGAGGAAGCCCCTGGAGAACCTGTCGGACGAGGACAGGTTCATGATGCAGTTCAGCAAGATCGAGAGGCTGATGCAGAAGATGACCATCATGGCCTTCATCGGCAACTTCGCTGAGAGCATCCAGATGCTCACCCCGGTGAGTGGCAGCAGGGAGTGTCCCCAGGACCATGGATCCAACCCCTGCCCTGCACACACACCCCAAAACTCCAGCCTGGGCATCCCTGGCAGCCTTGGGAATGTGCCCATTCCGTGGGGAGACTGGGCAGCCTTGAGGGAATATTGTTGGGAAAAATTACTCCTGATGTTGGTCCGTGGGCCTTTAGGATTGTGTTCCACCCAGGCTGGGACAGCTGTAGGGGTTGGAATGTGGATCCTCATTTATATCTCAGGGGAGTGAATCTGGGTTTGGAATCCTGGAGTCCACATCAGGGCGGGGGAATATTGACAGAATCCCAAACAAGGCTGGGAAAAAAGGGAAAATAAGGAATATCCAATTCCACCCATTCCATGGTAGGGACACCTCCCACTGTCCCAGGCTGCTCCAGCCTGGCCTGGGACACCTCCAGGGATCCAGGGCAGCCACAGCTGCTCTGGGAATTCCATCCCAGCCAGGAATTCCCAATTCCCAACATCCCACCCATCCCTGCCCTCTGGCAGTGGGAGCCATTCCCTGGCTCCTGTCCCTCCATTCCTCGTCCCCAGTCCCTCTCCAGCTCTCCTGGAGCCCTTCAGGCCCTGCCAGGGGCTCTGAGCTCTGCCTGGATCCTTCCCTTCTCCAGGGGAACATTCCCGGGGCTCTGAGCTCTGCCTGGATCCTTCCCTTCTCCAGGGGAACATTCCCGGGGCTCTGAGCTCTGCCTGGATCCTTCCCTTCTCCAGGGGAACATTCCCGGGGCTCTGAGCTCTGCCTGGATCCTTCCCTTCTCCAGGGGAACATTCCCGGGGCTCTGAGCTCTGCCTGGATCCCTCCCTTCTCCAGGGGGACATTCCCAGCTCTCCAGCCTGGCTCTGTGGCAGAGGGACATCAGTGCTCTGTCCCATGGTGTGGATAACAACCAGGAAGGTTTTTCCCAGGATGTGAGTGTTTGGATGTTCATTTTCCTCCTGGCTGGATGTGCATTAACCAAAGCTCTCCCTGTGTTTCCCTGCAGCAACTCCACGCCATCATCGCTGCCTCTGTCTCCATAAAGTCATCCCAAAAACTTAAGAAAATCCTGGAGGTAGGTCTGGTCTCAGGTCCCCTTCCAGCGGTGTCTAAAGCTCCAGGAATTTGTCCTGAGAATTCCTGCTCTGCTCTGTTTCATCCTGGCAGATCATCCTGGCCCTTGGGAATTACATGAACAGCAGCAAACGAGGGGCTGTGTATGGATTTAAGCTGCAGAGTTTAGACCTGGTAAGAAAAGCAGGGATGTGCTGTGGGCACCAGCTGGGAATTAAAGCTGTGGAGTTCTTGAAGCTGGAAAAACCTTCCCAGATCTTGGAGTCCAACCATTCCCAGCACTGCCAAGGCCACCACTGCCCCGTGTCCCCAGTGCCACATCCACAGGGTTTTAAAATCCCTCCAGGGATGGGCACTCCAACCCTCCCTGGGCAGTGCCAATCCCTGAGCCCCTTTCCATGGGGAAATTCCTGCTGGTTCCACCCTGAGCTCCCCTGGGCCAGCCTGAGGCCGTTCCCTCTCCTCCTGGCCCTGTTCCCTGGGATGATCCCAAATCCCCCCGGCTGTCCCCTCCTGGCAGGGAATTCCAGAGAGGGAAAAGATCCCTGGGGATCCTCCTTTGCTCCAGGCTGAGCCCCTTCCCAGCTCCCTCAGGAATTCTCCAGCCCCTTCCCAGCTCCCTCAGGAATTCTCCAGCCCTTTCCCAGCTCTGTTCCCTTCCCTGGCCCCACTCCAGCCCCTCAGGGTCTCCTTTGCCGTGAGGGGAAAACCAAAAAGTGGAGAAAACATGAGGGGGAAAAAAAGGTGCAGGAAGTTTGGGGAGGGCTCTGCTGCAGAGCTTTTCCCTCCTGGATCCTCCTTCTCTCCAGGCTGAGCCCCTTCCCAGCTCCCTCAGGAATTCCCCAGCCCCTTCCCAGCTCCCTCAGGAATTCTCCAGCCCCTTCCCAGCTCCCTCAGGAATTCTCCAGCCCCTTCCCAGCTCCCTCAGGAATTCTCCAGCCCCTTCCCAGCTCCCTCAGGGATTCTCCAGCCCTTTCTGTATTTGTTTTGGTTTAGAGTAAATTTGGGAAAGAATTTTTAGAAGGGTTTTTTTAGGAAGTAGATCTAATTGGCTCTTTTCCCCCCGGCTGGTTGGGGAAAGATATTTTTTAGGAGAAAAGTGGAAAAAATTTGTTTATTAAATAAGTAAATTTAATTAATATTAAATACTAATTTTTTTTTGTTATTTAAAGAGAGAGATAAACTTAGAAAATTTTTTTGGGTTGTAGTTTGGCTTATTTAGTTTTTGATTCATTTTTTTTTGGTGCTGGAAATGTTATGGCTGTGCTCCTGCTCCCCACAGCTCCCCACAGCTCCCCACATCTCCCCACAGCCCCCACAGCCCCCCCAGCTCCCCCACATCTCCCCACAGCTCCCCACATCTCCCACATCTCCCACATCTCCCCACAGCTCCCCACAGCTCCCCACATCTCCCACATCTCCCCACAGCTCCCACAGCTCCCCTCATGTCCCCAACATCTCCCACAGCTCCCCTGAACTCCCCACATCTCCCACATCTCCCACAGCTCCCACAGCTCCCCACAGCTCCCCTCATGTCCCTTCATGTCCCCACAGCCCCCACATCTCCCCACATCTCCCCATCTCTGTCCCTGCTCCCCGCAGCTCCTGGAGACCAAGTCGACGGACCGCAAGCAGACGCTGCTGCACTACATCTCCAACGTGGTGAAGGAGAAGTACCAGCACGTGGCCCTGTTCTACAACGAGCTGCACTACGTGGAGAAGGCAGCAGCAGGTACAGCCCCTCCCTGCCCTGCCCTGCCCTGCCAGGCTGGCACACCCCACACCGCGGCAGCTCAGCCTCCCCTCCCTCCCAGTGTCCCTGGAGAACGTCCTGCTGGACGTGAAGGAGCTGCAGCGGGGCCTGGAGCTGACCAAGCGCGAGTACACCATGCACGACCACAACACCATGCTCAAGGACTTCATCCAGAGCAACGAGGGCAAGCTCAAGAAGCTCCAGGATGATGCCAAAATAGCCCAGGTGCTCCTGTGTTCCCGGGATCTGCTGGGGGGGGTATTTCCATGGAATGCTGGGGATGGGGAGGGTGCCTGGGAGGTGTGCAGGGCACTGAAGCTGTGCCTCTTGCAGGATGCCTTTGATGATGCTGTGAAGTATTTCGGGGAGAATCCCAAAACAACGCCACCCTCGGTCTTCTTCCCGGTGTTTGTCCGCTTTGTAAAGGCCTACAAGGTAATCCAGAGCTTCCTTGTCCTTGTTCTTGTCCTTGGCCTCCTCTTCCTTCTCTTCTTCCTCCTCTTTCTCTCTTTCTCTCTTTCTCTCTTTCTCTCTTTCTCTCTTTCTCTCTTTCTCTCTTTCTCTCTTTCCTTCCTTCTTTCCTTCTTTCCTTCTTTCCTTCTTTCCTTCTTTCCTTCTTTCCTTCTTTCCTTCTTTCCTTCTTCTTTCTCTCTCTTTCTCTCTTTCTCTTTCTCTTTCTCTCTTTCTCTTTCTCTCTTTCTCTTTCTCTCTTTCTCTTTCTCTTTCTCTCTTTCTCTTTCTCTCTTTCTCTCTCTCTTTCTCTTTCTCTCTTTCTCTTTCTTTCTTTCTCTCTTTCTCTCTTTCTCTCTTTCTTTTCTCTCTTTTCTCTCTTTCCTCTCTTTCCTCTCTTTCCTCTCTTTTCTCTCCTTTCTCTCTTTCCCCTCTTTCCCCTCTTTCCCCTCTTTCCTTCTTTCCCCTCTTTCCCTCTTTCCTTCTTTCCTTCTTTCCTTCTTTCCTTCTTCTTTCTCTCTCTTTCTCTCTTTCTCTTTCTCTCTTTCTCTTTCTCTCTTTCTCTCTTTCTCTCTTTCTCTCTTTCTCTTTCTCTCTTTCTCTCTTTCTCTCTTTCTCTCTTTCTCTCTTTCTCTCTTTCTCTCTTTCTCTCTTTCTCTCTTTCTCTCTTTCTCTCTTTTTCCCTCTTTCTCCTCCTCATCTTCTTTGTCCTCCCCCAAATTCTTCTGTTCTTATACTCTTCTCCTCCTTCTTTTCCTCCTCCTCTTTCTCCTCCTTTTCTTTTCCTCCTCCTCCTTCTCCTCTTTTTCCTCTTCTTCTTTCTCCTCTTTTTCCTCCTCATCTTTCTCCTCTTTTTCCTCTTCCTCCTTCTCTTCTTTTCCTCTTTCTCCTCCTCCTTTTTCCTTTCTGCCTTTCTTCTTCTTTCTCCTCCTCCCCGTTCCTCAGAAAGCCCCATGCTGGCACAGATCCCATTCCTCCCTGGGATCTCTGACCTGTGGATTTTCTCACAAACAGCAAGCAGAGGAAGAAAACGAGCTGAGGAAAAAGCAGGAGCAGGCCTTAATGGAAAAACTCATGGAGCAAGAAGCGTTGCTGGAGCAGCAGGACCAAAAGGTAAGGCACAGATACAGCTTCCAGCTGGGACTGGGCTCCTGATTTCCAGAAACATCAGCTCTGAGTGAGGAACTTTCTAGCTGCCTACAGAGAGTCTGGAAGTTTTTATGGGAAAACTGGGATAGGCTGGAAAAATTCCAGTGTGGGTTCTGCTGCTTTGGAAGTCGGCAAAATTAAGGAAAATGAAATAGGTGGAGAGTTGTATTGTCCGTATTTCCATGAGCTTTTATCCTTGCCTGATTTCTCTGTGGAGCGGGAGCGAGAAAGGAGGAGAAGGAAAAGAAGGAGGGAAAAAAGGAGGAGGATGAAAAAGAGGAGGAGGAGGAGGAGGAAAAGAAAAGGAGGAGAAAAAGGAGGAGGAGAAGAAATGGGGGGAGGGCAAAGAGGAGGAGAAAGAGAAGAGAAGGAGGAGGAAGGAGGGAAAGAAGGAGAAGGAGGATGAAAAAGAGGAGGAGGAGGAGGAGGAAAAGAAAAGGAGGAGAAAAACGAGGAGGAGAAGAAGTGGGGGGGAGGGCAAAGAAGAGGAGAAAGAGAAGAGGAGAAGGAGGAGGATGAAAAAAAAGGAGAAGGAGCAGGAGGAAAAGAAAAGGAGGAGAAAAAGGAGGAGGAGAAGAAATGGGGGGAGGGCAAAGAGGTGGAGAAAGAAAAGAAGAGGAGAAGGAGGAAAAGAAGGAGAAGGATGAGAAAGAGGAGAAGGAGGAGGAGGAAAATAAAAGAAGGAGGAGAAAAAGGAGGAGGAGAAGAAGTGGGGGGAGGGCAAAGAGGAGGAGAAAGAGAAGAGAAGGAGGAGGAAGAAGGAGGAAAAGAAGGAGAAGGAGGATGAAAAAGAGGAGGAGGAGGAAAAGAAAAGGAGGAGGAGAAGAAATGGGGGGAGGGCAAAGAGGAGGAGAAAGAGAAGAGGAGAAGGAGGAGGAAGAAGGAAGAAAAGAAGGAGAAGGATGAAAAAGAGGAGAAGGAGGAGGAGGAAGAGAAAAGAAGGAGGAGAAAAAGGAGGAGGAGAAGAAGTGGGGGGGAGGGCAAAGAAGAGGAGGAGAAAGAAAAGAAGAGGAGAAGGAGGAAGAAGAGGAGGAGGAGGAGGCTGTTCCCAGGCTCAGGAATGGGGTGGAAGGGGCAGTTCCTGTGGGAAGTGCTGGCTGCAGGGGTGTGTGAGGCTGGGGAAGGAGCCCAGGGGAGCCCAGGGCAGCTCTCCTGACTGTGCCTGTGCCCCCAGTCCCCGTCCCACAAGAGCAAGCGGCAGCAGCAGGAGCTGATCGCGGAGCTGCGGCGCCGGCAGGTCAAGGACAACCGGCACGTGTACGAGGGCAAGGACGGCGCCATCGAGGACATCATCACAGGTACCCTGCTGCCATGCCAGGGCTCCACCTCCTCTCTTCCCCTCCTGCTTGTGTGCTTGAAGCAAATCCAGAGGGTTCTGCTCCTTCTCTTCCAGCTGCTGGGGACGTTCCCAGGGTTTAGAGCAGGCAGGGGGTGCCTGATCCCAGCAGCTGCTCCAGCTGTGCCCGGTGGAGCTGTCCCAAATCCCTTTTTTCCCCCCCACAAATGGGTGAGGATGAAGAGTTTTCATTAAGATTGATCCCAGAAATCCTTCAGTCAACCCTCAGCGACCCCAGACTGCTCCAGGTTTTCCTGCAGATCCCAGGGGGAAGGGACACAGCCCCTGCTGCAGCCAGGCACTGGCAGGAAATATTTGCTGATTAAGAGCCACCTGAACTCCATCTTTCCCAGGAATTAAATCCTTCTGAACAATTCCAGTTTCAGGGATTGCAGAACCAGGAGTTTTCCACACGTTTTTCACCTGTGGTGTGGAAGGAAAATGATTTAACACCTCAGGAGCTTCACAAACTCAGTTTCCTTGTGCAGAACCCAAAAATAAAGGGTCTTTGCCAACTGCTCCTGGAAGTTTTCCACAGGAGTTTTTCCCTGCAGAAGGGCAGGGGAGCTGTTTGATCCCTCACTAAGGCAGCCAGGGAATTTTTGCCCAACTGGATGAAGTGTGTGAAGCTTGCCCAGCTCCTTTTAACCTTGATTAATGGCCCTGAGATAACATTCCTCATTTAAAGGGCAGAGTGGCAATAATATCCAACCTGGCATCACTTCCACAACTCCTCCAGACTCCTGGGACTTTGATTAATTGGAAAAATGGTTTTCCTGCTCTGTGGAAGGAACAGATTGTGTGGCAGAGGCCCATCCCTGTGGAAAAAACCATCCAGGGGAGAGGCTGCCAGGCTCTAATTTAACATTTCCTGCACTCTTGTGCCTGGGTTTGCCCATTTTGGGCCCACAAGCCACGAGGAGGAAAAGTCAGGCATGGGAGGTCAGGTGGGACCAAGATCACCTCCCCATCCCTGGAGATGTCCCAGTAAATCCTGCACTTCCCCATCTCTGAGAGTGCTCCAGGCCAGGTTGGATGGGGCTTGGAGCACTCTGGGATAGTGGGAGGTGTCCCTGCCCATGGCTGGAGTAACACTGGATGGGATTTTGGGTCCCTTCCCACCTAAATCAAACAGCAAGGTCTTCCCACAAACCTGTAGCACACCTTAAAGCAAGTTCTTCAAGGGAATTACTTTATGAAGGAAAGGTCAGGGATTGGGAAGGAATTCCTGGCTGGGAGGGTGGGCAGGCCCTGGCACAGGGTGCCCCTGGATCCCTGGCAGTGCCCAAGGCCAGGCTGGATGGGGCTTGGAGCACCTGGGGCAGTGGAAGGTGTCCCTGCCATGGCAGGGCTGGGATGAGATGAGTTGAAGGTCCCTTCCAAGCCAAACCAGGCTGGATGAAACTCCTCCTGCAGCCTCGCCACCCCGCTGTCCCCAGGCCAGCGAGGAGCGGGCTGGAGCTGTGGCAGTGTCCCTGTGGGCTGTCCCTGGCCGGGGCAGCGCTGACCTGGGCTCGTGTGTGGCTGTTGTTGTTCCCATGCAGTGCTGAAGACGGTGCCCTTCACCGCCCGGAGCGCCAAGCGCGGCTCTCGGTTCTTCTGCGACCCCGTTGTCCCCGAGGAATTCCATTACTAAACTCTCCCTCTTTCACACCTGACGCTCTTAGAAACCAGGAAGGTCGCTGTAGACTTTTTGCCACTTTGTTTGTGCGGATCTCAGCCAGGAGTCTGTGACTGTGTCGAGTGTGTAGTGGTGTCCAGCGTCCTCCTGACATTGTAGTGGTGTCCCCTGTGTTGCATGTCCTCCTCATCCCGTCCCTAATTCCATCCCATCCCATCCCATCCCGTGGAACAGCAAGCTGGGACTCACTGGGATGGGTCTCCTGCAGTGCAAGGGCTGAGGAGCCCAAGCAGTGACAGCTCACTTGGCTTGTGTCACCTCGGGGTGCTCTGCATGTGGAATTGCATGTGGAATTCCGGGCTGCATGGACCTTGGGAATGGCCTCGGGGGTGGATGTGACTCAGGAATAACAGCCATGGGGTGGTTTAGGATTCCTCACGAGCTCCTGCATGTTCAGCTGCATGGGGTGAAATCTCTCCTTTTTCTGCCATGTCCACATTTAACTCTTTATTCCATGCCAGTTCCATGCCAGCTTTGTTTCACGGAGTCAGGAATTCTCTCTGAGCCTGGGCCGGGCTCAGTGCATGGAGCAGGGCTGGGAGTTGGGAACACAGGGCAAAGCCACCGGAACGCTGCCAAGGCAAACCTGGCATGGAACTGAGCCATTCCCACCGTGGTGTCCGTTGTCCCACGGGTGTCCCTCACCCAGCATGGCCCTGGACACTGCTGTCCTCGTTAAGGACTCAGCTTAGGAAGCCAGCAGTGCTCCTTCCACCGTGCCCTGTGAAATTCCATCAGTGCTGCCAATAAATCCACAAACTAACCCTCTCCACGGTTCTTTGCTCGTCGGGTTCTCTCTGTGTCCTCTTCCTGGAGCCAACCTTCAAAGCAGCTTGGAAGTGGGGTAGGGAGCGGCCTCCTGTCCCTCCTGCCCTGTCTAACCCCTCTTGCTCTGTGGTTTCTGCCCGGGAGGTTTGAACACTGCCTTGACTTGCTCTTCATTCTCCATCCCATTTTTTTTTTTACTTAACCATCATTTTTTTGTGTTCTGTTTTGTTTGTTGTTTTTTGTTTTCTGTTTAGCCCTAAAGAAGAATAATATCACTAAATTTCCCAATGTTCACTCGAGGGTAAGGATTTCTTCTAGCACAGCCGTGGTGGAGGATTCCCAGAGCTGGCAAGCATCTCTTTTTACTTGGCTTCCTCCTCTCTCTCTGTGCCAGGCAGCTGGTGGTAGATGTGGCTGAGCTAATACTGGTGAGACCCCGGAGGCCACTTGAGACCCAGATCCTTGATTTTCACCTCTGGAGGTGCAGGGATCCACAGGATGTTGGCTGGTGACCATCATCGCACTGTTTTGGCCACTTCTCCTCAAGCTGAGCCCAAAACAGTCTTGTCCCCAAGTGTTGTTGGTTGGTGACCATCTTCACACTCCATTTTGGCCATTTTAATTCAAGTTGAGCCCAAAATAATCTTGTCCCCAGGTGTTGTTGGTTGGTGACCACCGTCACACTCCAGTTTGGCCATTTCTCTAAGTCCAGCCCAAAACAGTTTTGTCTCCAGGTGTTGCAGCCCCACAGTTGGGTTCTGCATGAGGTGGACAATCTCCAACTCCAGGTGTAGGTAGGGAGGGGAGAGCTGAGAAGTTTGGGAGTTCTGTGTAACCCCCAACACAAGTTATCCAGGAAATCTGAGGGATTTGCCCAGTCCAACACAAATTTGTTGGCCAGGAGACCAATATTTGAGCTGGAATTGTCTTCAGTGCTTGTTCTCTTGTAGGTGTACAGGTGACAGCACATGTGACACCTGTAATGGGCTTCCACCATCCCATCCATCAGCTTTGTCCTCCATCCATCCATCCATCCATCCATCCATCCATCCATCCATCCATCCATCCATCCATCCATCCATCCCATGCTCAGTGTTCCCTCCCGAGCTCTCCCTTCCTCTGGCTGATGAAGCATCTCCAGCCACACAAAGCAGCTGGAGAATCCCAACCCAGTGCCAGCTGCTTTTCCCAGGGGCACCTCTTTTAGCTCTTGGAGCTCCTTGCCAACCTGAACGATTCCATGAATCCATCCTAAACGGGACGTGGGGATCCCAAATCCATCCCGGTAGGGTCACACACAGCTCTGGCGCGTGGGAACACGCATGAACACCTCAAACCATCTGGCTTGGTGATGGGTGTGAGGGGCCATTCCCACAGCACCATTCCCAACCCCACCAACATCCCGATCCCACCAGTATTAACCGGCCGCTGGGGCGCGTAGCTCGGGCACGTCCGTCCTTCCCCGCGCAGCGCCGGGGTTGATCCCTGCTCCCGTCCTCCACAAGCTGCTTTGACTGGCTTCCAGCGGGCCTTTCCGTGTCTGTCCTGCCGTGCTGCGTGTCCGTGTGTCCCGTGTGGGCGCTGCTGACTGCCGGCTCCCCGCAGATCTCCGGAACCAGCCGTACCGCCGGGCCGACGCGCTGAGGAGGAGCGTGCGCCGCCGCTTCGACGAGCACGGGCTGCGCTCCAACGGCGCCGAGTTGGCCATGTGAGTCCTCCGGGCTGGTGGCCACCACGTCCCACCTTCTCCAGGGAACACGGAGCCTCCACGCCCCGCGCCGCGCTCGCCACGCCAAGTGCCTGGAACGGGAGCTCCCGCTCCGCTGGATCCCAGCGACGGCGTCGGGGTCGGTTGGGGTTTCTCTGGACGCCGAGGCTGTGCAGGGTTTGTAACCAAAATGTAAAATAGGGGTTGGGTTGGGGGGTTGGGTTGGTGAGAGAGAGGGCTCCAGTGGGCCTGACCGGTTGGAAACTGGGAATACTGGGAAAACTGGGATGTGCTTGGCTTTTAACGCTGGGCCAAGGGGCAGGCTCGGCCTTCGGCTGCACTTAACGGCTCTTTTGAAATTAAATCTGCAAATGAAGACATTGGAGGGCTTTCCGTACCTGGAATTAATCCCAAGGAAGAAGCCAGGCCTTTCCCAGCCGTGCTGCTCCAAATGGAGCTGGGGATGGAACAGGAGGATCCCCCAGCCCAGCACGGGGCTTTGGGATGTTCCGGGGCTTGGCAGCGTTGGGATAACGGCGTGTTTATTAATTAGCACTAAGCAATTAACACCCAGTAACCAGTGTTAGGCTCTGAGGACCACTGCAGTCCAGTTCCTGGCAGGGGGATTCCAATTCCAACCCTGCTCCGGCTCCAAGGGAAGCCCAGCCTGAAATTCCCAGCAGGGTTGGTGTTCTCCATGGAGTTTTCCATGCCCAAAAAGTGCCAGGAGGCTGATTTGGGACCACGGTGCCCTCCCTGTGCCCCGGAGCAGAGGATGGATCCCACTCCCTGCCAGCAGCATCCAGGAGTTGGGAAGAGCCGGACTGAGGAGAATTTTGTCCTTCCCAAATCCCATTTTGCTTCCAGCTTCCCTGCCTGGGCTCATCCATCTGTTCATTGTAAAATTTCTTGTATAGTATTTAACCACTGAATTTCTTTGCCCTTTTCCATTGTGCTCCTGTGAACCACTGGTGAAGGTCCCTGTTTTTTTTTGTTTTTCCCCTTGGATAATGTGTAGTTATATGATAATCTGTTTTTAAATGTACAGATATTTTGCTACAAAATTGGTGCAGTTTTTTATGGTTTTTACACTTCCCCCCCCCCCACCACTTTAGCCTCTGGGTAATATTGTAAATATTGTTTAAAATGAAATAAATGCATCAAGCCTGTGCTATACAATCTGAATGTTATTTTAACTTATAGTTTTTGTTTTTATATTTAACTAAAAGGACAGTTTCGGACTCAGAGTTACCACATTGACCAATTTCCAGGAATTTTTCCTTGAAAAACTGCCAAGTTTTGCATTTACAGCACTGTGTACTTGACCTGCTAAAGAGAACATGCCACTGTTGGAATGAGTGTTTGGATCAAAGAAAATTGGGTAATTTGAATTTCAAATTTCAGCACTTGTTGGGGTATAAGCACTAAATCTCATTTTCTTCAGCTCAAAGGTATTTTTATAATAAAAGCTGAGAATGAAAGCCAAGCTGGCATGTTCTCTTTAATATTTTTCTAGTCATAGATCTGCTTCTTAGCAAGATTAGGAGTGTTTCTAAAGCAGTTCATGTTCCTTTCCTGGTCTGTTCCTGCCATAAAATCAAATAAACTATTTACACTACTAATCTGAAATCCAGAGGGGTTTTTTGGGTCACTTTTACCTGGTTTTTTCCCCCCCAAAAAAATGCTGGTATTTGCTAGGTGAACACCTGGAGCTTGTGTGGGTAAAGATTGAAAAAATTTTGAAATAATCAATTTATTATTTGCTAATCTCAAAGAGGCTGAGGGAAGAAATTTGAGGTGTGGGTGTTCCTGGGAGACAGCTCCAGGAAAGAAATAAAATAAATAGGGATTAATATTTGCCAGAAATGCACTTAAAACAATTCAAATATTTAAGGCCCAAACAATTTGAATTTTAATATCAAATTTAATTTTTAAAAGGGTTTAATAAAATTACTCTGAGCGGGGAGGTCAGGATTAGCCAGCACAGCCAAGGTTTCAACATTGATGGACACGGTTAAAAATCATCCAAAATAATCCAATAATTCATCAAAAAGAATCAATTTGGCCAAAATTCCTTCCAGTTTCCAGGAAAAAATGCAGAGGTTGGGGCTGGCCACAGAAAAAGATGGGGCTGGGAAATAGGAAAACACCAAAAAAAAAAGCTGGAAAAATAAGCCTGAACTCAATTCTCTGGAAAGCTTTGTTTAAAAGCAGGTTCAGCTGAGTTTCTTCCAGCAAACTGAATTAAGATGTTAAGAAAACCCCACCACTGGACTAACTGACATTCCCAGTTTTTTATTTTTAATGGAAAAATCAAGGCAACCCTTTTACAAGTGCTATTCCCTGAGGAACATCTTTCTCCTTGAATTTGTGTGGATGCAAGGGAAGAAGAGCACTGGGAGAAGTTCCTCCCTGTCGGACTCCAAATCCTCCTCCCAGCTGCCAGGACCTGCTGCCCTCCTGTTTTCCAAACCCTGCAGGGAAAAACCTGGAATATTCCAACCTGGATTTCCACACCAAACACCCCCAAGCCCAGTTTGACCAAATCCAGGTGTTTTTTCCCCAGGCAATGGGTGATGAGCAATGGCCCTTCAGGAGGAAACAGCAGGATTGGGATGTTCTTTCCCATCCCAAACCATTCCAGAAAATCCCAAAGCATCCCAGGAAAAAAATGGTTACAACCTCCTGCCTTGTCTATTTCAAATTAACTCATTTCAATCTCAGGGTGTTCTGAAGGATTCTGAGCCTTGTAACCACCCCAGCCACAAAATTCCCAGGATAAATGGATCCTTATGTGTTTATGCACTGGTAAAAGTGGTCAAAATTCAGGAAAAAAACTCCTGAAAAGGGATCTACAAGTCTTCAAATCAGGTTTTACGAGCGAGTCTGTAGCTCAGAGCTGTACAGAGTATTTAAGGAGAAATAAATACCAGTACATGCTAAAAGACAAGGTTTAATCATTGATAAAAATGTACAAAAATATTCCAAGGACAGCGGCTTCCCAATTTTCTCACCGAGTAGGGCCGGGGCACCTCCCTGAACGTGTTGGAAAACAGGGCTGGAGCTGCTTCTCCTCCCTCCTCGGGGCTGTGCAGGTACATTCTGCAGCAGGTTCTTAAGGCAACACATGGAATTGCGTTTAACATTGGATTTTTATTCCTAAGTTTTCGGAAGGGGGGGAGAAAAGGTGGAGAGAAACGCTGGAGTAACAGCCAGGGCCGGGCTGGGATTTTGGGAATGCCGAGGTGCTCGTGTCCCACACGCTCCCTCTGCTGGCACAGCACAATTCCCATCCACAGCATTCCCTGGCATTTGGGATCGATGGAGTTGGGACACAGATCAGTCCTGGACAAAAGCCCCAGTGCCAAACAACCCCAAAATCCAGGGGATTGCAGAACACATCAAGACATGGATTCCTTACTCCTGCTGCCTTCCCAAAAAAAAATCCCACCCAAGCAAATCCATCAAAGAACAGAAGCACAAGGAATTAAATCAGGAGTTTTTTCCCCAAAGCTGAGCTGGGCTCTGCCCAGACAGCCCAGGGTTGTTCCCTGCCTTGGGAAGGACACGGGAAAGTGCTTGGGGACACTGCTGCCACCTCTGTGTCCCCTCCAGGGGATCCCATCCCGCCCCGCAGCTCCAGGCCAGGCACAGCTTTGCCCTCAGAATTCCATGGATTTTTCTACTTTTGACTGGATTGAAGTGGTAAAAAACTAAAAGCCACCCTTGTTGTGGCCATGGGCCACCGGCCACCGGCCCCAGGGCCTTGCCCACACAAGGCTTGGTTTTATTTTGCCACCTGTAAACGTTTTTGGTATCAAGGATCTTCTCACTGATCTTCATCCAGCTGTTCCAAAAGAGTCCTCCTCTGTTTTTCCAGCTCCCCCTCGCTGAGCTCGCTGCCGGAGGTGTCCCAGTTTCCCTGAGGAGAGATGGGACAGGGTCAGGATGGGATCCTCAGCAGGGACACCCAGCCAGAGCTGCTCTGTGCCACCCAGAAACCCCCAAATCCCAACTGGGGCACGGCAAAGAGCTCCAGGATCCTCAAGTGCAACCTGTGCCCTTTCCCAGAGCAAAGCCATGGAGCTGCATCCAGCAGAGCCCACAGCAGCAGGAGGAACAGGAAGCAGAGCTTACGGAATCTTTTCCAGGCCGTTTTTTAGTGGGGGATTTATGCTTGGACTCGGATCTCTGTCTGGCTCTTTCCTTCTCACTGTCCCTCTCTCTTTCCTTCTTGTCCTTCTCTCGTTCCACATCGGATTCTGGCGAATCCTGTGGGGAAAAAAAAAATGGGAATAGTGAATATTAATGTTGAACATTTTTAAGTCCAACTTCCATTTAAAGAATTGTGGAATCATGGAATGATTGAAGTTGGAAGGGACTTTAAGTCTCATCCCATTCCACCTCTGCCAGGGGCAGGGACACCTTCCCCCATCCCAGGTTGTTCCAGGTTTTCCAGCCTGGCCTTGGGCACTTCCAGGGATCCAGGAGCAGCCACAGCTTCTCTGGGCACTCTGTGCCAGGGCCTGCCAACCCTCCCAGGAAGAAGTGAAGCTCTTGCTGCACTTTGGATTCTTTTGCTGCTCTTGTACAACTCAGAGCTTCCAGCATGACCCTGATGCTCAGCAGGCACAAGGAATGGCAGAGATCCTTCCCAGCTCCCCCCAGCAAGGAGAACACCTGGATTTGCCAGGATAAACAGCAAATCCCAAGCTACTCAGGAGTCCTTCACCTGAGTTAAACCCTCCACACTCAGCAGTTTTAAGTGGTTTAGTATTAGGAATATGTAACAGAGTTGTTATTTTGGCAGTTCCCCCCTCCAGTTTAATCCCAGTTTTTCCCTAGGATCACCCAGATGGGTTGTCCATAACCCAACTGAAAACTGGGCTCCACTTACAGACTTGTGCCTCCTCTTCTTGCTCTTCTTCTTGTGTTTTTTGGACTTCTTGTAACTCCTCTCTGCAGCCACAGGGAGAAAGAAAAACCCCCCAGGAATCAGTGGATAAATCCCAAAGGAGAAGAGCACAGCTGGTGTAAAGCCAATCCCACCCCACCCCGTACCGGATTCGGCGCTGGAAGAACGCTCCGACACCGACCGCGACTCCGAGCGCTGCCGCTTCTTCTTGGAGTGGCTGTCGTCATCCTCGGACTCTGAGCCCTTCACACGCAGCCCAGGGAAGAATTCAATAATTCAGTTCAGTAATTCCATGGAATTCCAATCAATAATGGGAATTGCAGCACCACCAGTGCAGAGGGAGGGGCTGCAGGGATACTCACGGAGCGGGAACGGGAGCGCTTCCGGTGATGTTTTTTGGATTTCTTCGAATGTTTCTTGGTCTTGGAGTGGTGGTGTTGACACTCGTGCTGTGGGCAAGGCAAGGAGGGGAGAGCTCGGAATTCCAGCAGGGATTGGCCTTGGAAAGGCCCTAAAATCCCAGCCTGTTCCACTGTGAGTAAGGAGAATTTTCCCAGAGGGGAGTGCTCCAACCTGGCCTTGGAAAGTTCCAGGGATGGGGCAGTAAAACCTCATCGGCTCCTACAGCACATCCCAAAAATCTGATGGGATTTTTTTCCTCATCCAAGAAAGTTGGGAAGGGTTAAAAACTCCATCACCATTTCCTGGCAGAACCACCTCATCAGCTCCTACAGGACATCCCAAAAATCTGATGGGATCTTTCTCCTCATCCACAAAAGCCGGGAAAGGTTAAAAATTCCATAAAATCAGCATTTAATGGGAGAACCATCTCATCATCTCCTACATCCCATCAATTTTTTGGGATGTGCTGCTTCTCCTCATCCACAAAAGCTGGGCAAAGTTAAAAACTCCACAATCACCATTTCATGTCAAAATACCTAAAAATGGGCACTGCTGCCATGTTGGAGCTGCACTAAAGGCAGCCAGGAGCAGGGACAAACACCTGGATTCCCAAGGATCTGCTCCCAGACCCAAACCCACCCCTTGCTCTGCCTAATTGGAAATTAAAGAATTAAAAGGCAAAATTTCAGTTCAAATTCTTCCAAACTGTGAGAAATGGAACAAAACCCCCAAGTGCGAGAGCTGAAAAAATCAAATTAATCTCCTGATATCACTTTATGGAAAAAAATTCCATTGAATCCTTCCCCTTCCCACTCCATGTAGAAGTAATTTTTCTTGTCTGTTGTCCAATGATTTCAAAAATAAAGGAATAATTACCTCAAGTACATGAAGGAAATCCTTAAATATCCTTTTCCTTTCAGATTCCAGGGTGATGTCTTCAAATGCTGGTTCCTTCACAAATCTGTCTCTGATCTGTCAGGAAAATTAATTCCATTAATGATATTCAAAGAAATTAAATTATAAATTTATTAAAACAGGATAGAAGAAATAGAAGAAAATAATAAAATATAATGTAGCAAAAATAATGACAATAAGAAATAAAAAAAACAGTACAGAATAATAATAACAATTATATAAATAATAACGAATAAAGATAAAAAGGAATAAAAAAAAAAGGCATAATAAAAGTAATAACAAAAATAAGACATAAATAAGAAATAAGAACTAAAAATAAAACTAAAACCCTGAATAAATAAAAATAAGGAAAAATAAAAACAATAATATAAATATGAAGAAATAATAAAAGTAAAAATAAAATTATATAAGAAAAATAAGAAAAATAATAGAAAAATGAAAAAATAAAGAGAATAATTTAAAAAAAAAAATTTTTTAAATTCTTTTCACCAGTTGAAAAGCCCCTGAAGTGCTACAAGGCTAAACTTTTAATCCCAGATTTCCAGCGTTCAGGGAAGCTCTAACTCATGGAAACATCCCACTGTTTTCCCTGCACATTCCATTTAAGCTTAAAAAAACCCCCAAATATTTATATAAATTATCCTTGGAAAGGAAAGGTTCTCCAGGGTATTTTACCTAGAACAAAGTTTATACTTCTAAATAATTTCAATTAACTTTGGGGCGGTTGTGGCATTTTTGGGGGGGGGTTTGTTTGTTTTTTTTCCCAGTTCTTTTAGGATGTTTTTGTTTCTAAAGGATGAACCTTTTCCCACCCAATTTTCCTGAAGAAACCACAGGTGTTTATGGGGTTTTGAAGCCCCACCAGCAGAACCAGGGAGAGGCTGGCGAAGGTGGGTTTTTTTAGGGATTAGCAGGGAGCTGTCTGGGAATTTGGGAATGTTTTACCCAAGGAATTCTCATCCTTACATCCTCCCAGACAGCATCCAGCTCGATGGGGGGGGTGGCTTGTTTCAGCATGCTCTTGAAGGCTGATTCCTTCCTCTTCATCTTCCGGGCCTCCTCCTTCTCCCGCTCCCGCTCCCGCGCTTCCGCCTTCTCCAGCAGCTGTGGGCATCAAAGGGAAGGGAAAGAATTCCATTTATTGGGATTTCGGCACACTTCACCCTCACAGCCGTGTCTAATTCACTCAGAAATAAATTCATTTATTGGGATTTCGGCACAGTTCACCCTCACAGCTGTGCCTGAGTCACTCAGAAATAAATTCATTTATTGGGATTTCGGCACAGTTCACCCTCACAGTTTGTTGGAACTCAAAATGTCCCTCAGACATTTTTGGAGGTTCCAGGCCCAGCTCAGAAGCATTTGAGACCCTGGCAGGCAGCTGGAAACAGCTGTGATTTTGGGTTTGAACCATGGAATGAGTTACCAACCTTGCATGAAGAACAAGAACTCACAAAATTTAGATATTATAGTAGAAGTAGTTATAAAGTAGAGGGAAGAATTTTTGAGTGCTGTACAGGGGGGTTTTGGTTTTGTACATGGGGGTCAGAGGGTTTAAGATGGAGGGATTTGGGCCTGTCCTGTCCTCCCTCTTTCTCCTTCCTCACCTCCATGTTCTTGGTGATGTTGGCACTCACAGATTGGTTTAGAGTAGAAAAGCACCATTTAATATAGGTAGTAGGTATTGGGGAAAAACTGTAACCATGTAACACGTAATGTACCATATAAAAGATAGAAAAGCACCATTTAATATAGGTAATAGGCATTGGGGAAAAATGATAAACATTTAACACGTAATGTACCATATAAAAGATAGCAGTAGCCCTCAGCAATGGGAGAAAAGAAAAGAGTCAAAAAAGATGTCAGGGTGTGTGTGTGCCTCTGCCTGAGCTGCTGAGCAAACCACAGCAGCTCCAGAAGAAAATCTTTTAGATAATTTGCAATAAACTGCCTTGAGACCGAACAACAGAGACATCAGAGTTTTCTTTGGAAGCTCGGGGTGGAGGAGAGACTTTTCCACCACACGGAACCCCTGAACTGGGCTGGGGTTCTGACAATAATTGTGTCTGAGTCACTCAGAAATAAATTCCATTTATTGGGATTTCGGCACACTTCACCCTCACAGTTATGTCTGGGTCACTCAGAAATGACAAGGAAATTAATTGCTTTTCCTGTACTTAATTAATAAAAACGATGATATTAAATTACTTCATCAAAAATTAATCAATTCTTTATTTTTCCAAGCGTGGAATTGGTGTTGCTGAAAATCCAATGATGCAAAATTACAGAACCACCTGAATCAGGAGGAATTTTAATGTACAAACAGGAGAGCATCACTGAATTCCTGTCCAAGAGTTCCTCAAGTTTAGGAATGTTGGCTGCTTGGATTAAGGTTTGTTTTTATTTTGGCAACTGAAATCAGTTAAGTAACCCCAAATAACAGAATATTCCTTAAATATTATTATTTTATTAGTTAGAAAATAAACCCTAATTCGTGTTTGGAGAAGGGATTTTCTATCCTCAGTACCCAGATATCCCAACAAATTAATTAATTAATTAATGTATTAATTAATACTTACACTGTTGAAAGCCAGCTTGATGTTCCCTGCATCCAACGTGGTGGCTCTTTTAGTGGAGCTGATGACAGTGACAAAATCCTCAAAGGAAGTGTTCACTTCCACCACAAATCCTTTATCCTGGAAAAAACGGCTCCTTTGGTGTGAGGGACATGGGGAATTCCCCCAATTCCAAGGAAATCCCAGCTCCCTTGGATGGGAAAGGAGGAGCCAGGTAATGCTCACCTTTAAGATGTCTTTAATTATCTTCTTCTCATCGTGGTAACGAGCTTTTAAATCCTCCACGTAAAACTTGAACAGGTCAAGTGCAGTTGATCCTGAGGGAGGGTTTAGTTAAGCCACAGGTCAGGTTTAACCCCAGAGCAGCATTTTTAGGTGTTGAAGAACAGGAATAATTGCTCAAATCCCAGGATTTCCCCTCCTTACCAGGCTGGCCGAGCATGCTGGTGAACCTGATGTCGGAGCTGATGGCTGGGTACAATTCCATCCAGGAGGACATGGAGTGCAGCTGCCCGTGCTCGTGCAGCTCATCCAGAAACAGCTGCAGAAAACAAGGAAAGTGGGAATTTGGAGTCACTCCTCCAGCTTCTCCCTGGTACCAGCTGGGATGGATTGGCTGGGTAACTGCAATTCCATTCTTGTTCCAACAGGATTGAAAAATCCCCTTTTCTGTTGTTCTTCCTGCTTTTCCCCACCTCCTACAACGTTCCAGCTGCATCTCCTTCCCATCCAGGCCTATTCCCTCTGATTTTTCCCTACTTTTCCAGCTCTCCAAGCAGAGAAAATGCCACAGCCCCACAACTGAGGCTTTAAACACCCCCTTGAATCAACCCTCAGAAAAAAAAAAAAGACCCACATGGAATATCCCATGATATCCCATGGGATTTTTAGGACAGAATCCCAAATTCCACCAACCTGGAAAGATTCCCTGTTTTTACGTTGCCTCCTCCTTTCCCTCAGCAAACTTTTCTGCTTCTCTTCCTCCTCCTCTTTTTCCAAGGCCCTGATATGTTCCTCAAAACAGATCAGGGCATCCTCCTTATCCATGTCTAGTGAGAACACAGGGAGAAGGGGGGGAAAAAATCAGGTTATTCCTTCCAAGTCAGGAAGAATCCTCCTCCCCAAAGAATTCCCGAGCCCACGGCCATACTCTGGAGCTCCTCATCCTCGGCAAAGGTGGGGTTGTCCATGAGGTACTGCTGGGCCTCCGACCAGGTGGTGCAGTAGGTGACGTTGGCCATGTTATCCAGGATGTTCTTCAGAGCTTCCCAGTTCCTCTTCCGCAGCTGCTTGGCTTGTTCCTGAGGGGAAAAGTTTCTTTTTTGGGCTCAGTTTGAGGTGGTTTGGACAGAAATGTAAGGTATCTAGTGTGTTCTCTAAGAAAATATGAGAGTAATATTTAATTGATACAAAATCATGGAATTCTAGAGTGGTTTGGGTTGGAAGGGTCCTAAAAGCTCATCCCATTCCAACCTCCTGCCTGGGACAGGGACCAGGTTGCTCCAAGGCCTATCCTTGGACACAAAAAACCACAATTTTTCCATCTTATTATTATTTCACTGATTCAGAATAAAATCCATCATGTTATTGATTAAAATCCTCTGAAAACACAACACATGGTAAAATCAGCAAGAATAAATCTCAATAAACCCCCAAATAAAAACTGCTGTTCATCTGCCATAAAGCCTCAAGCACAGGCCTGAAGTGATTGAGGAACAAGTGAGGAGATGCTGGATGGATTTGAAGGGAATTTACCTTCTCCTTCTTGGACAGGAAAAACAGAACATCCTCATAAATCTCCAGCCGGTCCCGCTCGGATATGGCATTCCACACTTCCATCTCCCCAAACATCTGTTCAGCTTTTCTGGGCAAGACAAACAAAAAACACACAATTTTATTTTCATTTCTTGGTGACTAAATTATCCATCAATTCCCCACAACATCAGGGAGGGCTCTGTTCCAAGCAGGAACACTTTTGATAGGAATTCTCCTTCATTTTCCCTCTTCGGAAGTGTTGTTTTTGTTGGGTTTTTTTTGGGTATCTTTTGAATTTTTCTAAAGGAAGGAAAAATCTAAAAATGGAAGTGGATGCCACTCCAAGCAGTGCATCCCATGAGGATTTTAATCCCAGATTTTTATCCCAAGTCTCTTACTTGTATCTGGTGGTGGATGTCATCTTCTCGTGGTTTTCCAGGAAGCGCTGGAAGGATTCCTTGGCTTCCTTGTACTTGGATCTGGCTTCTTCCTTCTCCTCCTTCTCTGTCTGAACTTTGTAGGCATTAAAGGCCTGCTTCTTTTCACTCAGTTTTGCCAAAGCACTTCCCAGGAAAGGAAAGGAAAGAGCAATGTTATTTATTAATAAAAAAAAAAAAAAATCAGGAAGAGAAGACAAAGAAAATCAGAAAAGGAAAATCGGGAAAAAAAATTAAAATTTGAAAAAGTAAATGGAAAATCAGAATGAAAAAAGAAAGAGAATTGGAATGAAAAAAGAGAATAGAATTGGAATGAAAAAAGAGAATCAGAACAAAAAAAGAGAATCAGAACAAAAAAAGAGAATCAGAACAAAAAAAGAAAGAAAATCAGAACACAAAAAAGAAAGAAAATCAGAACAAAAAAAAAAGAAAGAAAATCAGAGCAAAAAAAAAAAAGAAAATCAGACCAAAAAAGAAAGAAAATCAGAACAAAATAAGAGAATCAGAACAAAAAAAGAAAGGGAATCAGAACAAAAAAAGGAAATCAGAACCAAAAAAAAAAAAGAAAGAAAATCAGAAGAAAAAAAGAAAGGAAGTCAGAACAAAAAAGAAAGAAAATCAGAACAAAAAAAAAAAAAAGGAAAATCAGAACCAAAAACAAAAAAAAAGAAAATCAGAACACCAGGAAAAAAAAAAAAAAAAAGAACGCCAGAAAAAAAAAAGATCCCTAAAAACCAAGGGCAATCAGAAAAAGTGGAAAAAGAAAATAAGAAAATTAATAAGAAAAGAGGAAATTAAGTAAGGAAATCAAAACCAGAAAGCAAAAGGCAACAGGTTTGAATACTTCAGATTTGAGATAAAATTAATCTGAACATTTTAATCCCCAAATCAAGATAAAATTCCACACTCTTTCCCAATAAAAACGAAGCTGTTGGAAGCATTTCCTTATGGAGGAAATGAAGACAATTCCCTGCCAACGGCACAAGTGCAGGAGTATCTGTTGCTGACAGAACTTTGGATTATTTGGAAGTAAATTCCCTAAAAAAGGGTTTGTGTGGAATTAAAGGACTCAGTACCTGTATCTGGGGTCATTAATGATCATTTTCATGGCCTGCTCCCAGGAAGCATTGGATGGAACTCGCTGTGAAAATAGGAATTTATGGATGAATCAGACCTGGAATTAACATCCAGCAAGGAACAACTCCTTAAAATCAGCCATGGGGAAAAGAAAAAAGAACATTTGATTTTTAAGCTAAAACAACATTTCACTGCCATGTTCTTTTCCTTCACTTCCTCAAGAGTGAGGAATTCTTCCCCAAGAAAATCCAGTAAAACCTGGCAAATAAAATAGAAATAAAACTAGGTGTTGTAGTTCAATAAAACATTAATAACTGGCCCAAATACCTTTTCTTTTAGCAGTTCTTTAAATGCTTGTTTGGCCTCTTCCTTTGTGTTCCACGTGTAGGTTTTTTTAACTGGTTGGGCATCCTCATCCTCCTTCTTTGCAGCAGCACTAAAATAAAAAGTTTTATTATTTCAACATTTTTTCCTTAGAAGCACTGAAGAATCAAAAACCACCACAGAATGAGTTTTCTAAATAGCAACTCCAAGTAAAAAAATAATAATTCTAATAATTCATACAAGGCTTTTCTCTACAGGCATAACTGATGAAAAGGAGATGAAAAAAAGTGAATAACTGAGGCAAAATATTTCCCTCCTGCAATTGGCTGCCTGCTAAGGTTATATCTAGAAATTATTCCTAAAAATATAATGCTGAAGTTCAGCAGGAATATTCATATTTTATATAAAAATATAAAGAAGTGCATAAAAATAGGCTTTTTCTCCTTAATTACATCCTGCTGCCTAAAATCCTCCATAGTATTTCTTTTTTTTTTGAATGATAAAAATCCTAAGCTATAATTTTCCACATAATAGATTTTTCATTATTAAAAAAAAAAGGAATGCTGTCTGAAACAGATAAAAAACCCTCTAGTATGTAATTTTCTTCCAGTGATAACCAATGGCACAGATCCATGGAAAAGGAGCATAAATAGGTGCCTTAATGGCACGCTGGGAAATTCTTACAGATACTGGAAAATCCATGGAATGATCCTGTCACTGATGCTGCTGAGAAATGAAAAACTGCAGCAAAGTCTTGAGGCTTCGTGAATTATCATGGAGTCATGGAATTATTCCATTAATTATCATGGAATCATGGAATTACTCCATGAATTCTATGAATTATCATGGAATCATGGAATGGGGTGGATGGGAAGGGACAGTAAAGCCCACCCAGTTCCATGGGCAGGGACACCTCCCACTGTCCCAGGCTGCTCCCAGTAAATTATTCATTCCCTTGAAGAACTTGCTTTAAGGTTTGTGGGAAGATCTTGGGTGTTTGGGATGGGAATCATGGAATGGGCTGGGTGGGAAGGGACATGAAGGATCATCCCAATCCAACACTTCCCACTGTCCCAGGCTGTTCCCAGTAAATTATTAATTCCTGTGTGTTTCCCACAGGTTTGTGGGAAGATCTTGGGTGCTTGGGATGGGAATCATGGAACGGGTTGGATGGGAAGTGACATTAAGGATCATCCCAATCCAACACGTCCCACTGTCCCAGGCTGCTCCCAGTAAATTATTCATTCCCTTGAAGAACTTGCTTTAAGTGTGTTTCCCACAGGTTTGTGGGAAGATCTTGGGTGCTTGGGATGGGAATCATGGAACGGGCTGGGTGGGAAGGGACATGAAGGATCATCCCAATCCAACACTTCCCACTGTCCCAGGCTGCTCCCAGTAAATTATTCATTCCTTTGAAGAATTTGCTTTAAGTGTGTTTCCCACAGGTTTGTGGGAAGATCTTGGGTGCTTGGGATGGGAATCATGGAATGGGCTGGGTGGGAAGGGACATTAAGGATCATCCCAATCCAACCCTGCCATGGCAGGGACACCTCCCACTATCCCACACTGCTCCAACCTGGCCTGGGTCACTTCCAGGGACGCTGGGGCAGCCACAGCTGCTCTGGGAACGATGCCCCGTGATACCCCCACCCAAACCCACGTTCCCAGAGCTGCCATCCATCCCCTGGCACTCACTCTCCCGCGCCCTCTTGCTTGGCCGCCTCATCCGTGGTGGCCGCGGCGGTGTCGGTGCCACCATCCTGCGTGCCGGGCGCGGCACCGCCCTGGCCCTGCTCCTCAGCTGTGGCTGTGCCAGCACCGTCCGTGTCCCCCGTGGTGGCAGCCGGGGCTGGGTCCCCCTCAGGAGCGGCTCCCGCCGGGGCAGCCGTGGTCGCCGCCGCGCCGTCGGCCGCCGGAGCCGCGCCGGCCCCGCTCGGGGCGTCCCCGGCCACGGCCACAGCCGAGGCGGCGGCCACATCCTCCGGCTTCGTGCTGGGGACAAAAACAACAGCGGTCACCCCAATTGAGTCAATCCCAAATTAGAGATGTTGGTAGTTAAAGTTAGAGGTAGGGTAATTACCCGTTCTCAGTCCAAAAAACAATCCCAAACCTGCAGGTACCGGCCTTGGGGATTTAGGGCGGACAGGCAGCTTAGGGATGTGGGGGAAGTGGGGAATGAGGGGTTTAGGGTGAGGTAAAGACTCGGAAAAGGTTCATAGGCACTCAGGGAAAAGGGTGAAAGACCCTCGGGGAAAAGGGCCTGAAGGCCCTCAGGAAAAAAAGGGATCTGAAGGCCTCCGTGAAAAAAACAGTTGAAGATCCTCAGGGGAAAAAGGGCGTGAAGGATCCCAGGAAGTAAAGGATCAAAGAGTCTCAGGGCAAAAAAGGGCTTGAAGAGCCTCAGGAAAAAAGGGATCTGAAGGCCCTCAGGAAAAAAGGGGATCTGAAGGCCTCCGGGAAAAAAACAGTTGAAGATCCTCAGGAGAAAAAGGGCTTGAAGGATCCCAGGAAGAAAAGGGTCGAGGAGTCTCAGGGCAAAAAAGGGCTTGAAGAGCCTCAGGAAAAAAGGGATCTGAAGGCTCCCAGGAAGAAAAGGGTTGAAGATCCTCAGGAAAAAACGGAGCTGAGGGCTCTCAGGAAAAAAGGGATCTGAAGAGCCTCAGGAAAAAAAGGGGCTTGAAGAGCCTTGGGGAAAAAAGGGCTTGAAGAACCTCAGGAAAAAAGGGATCTGAAGGCTCCCAGGAAAAAAAGGATCTGAAGGCTCCGAGGAAGAAAAGGGTTGAAGATCCTCAGGAAAAAACGGAGCTGAGGGCCCTCAGGAAAAAACGGGATCTGAAGGTTCCCAGGAGAAAAAGGAGCTGAAGGCTCCCAAGAAAAGAAGGGTTGAAGATCCTCAGGAGAAAAAGGGCTTGAAGAGCCTCAGGAAAAAAAGGATCTGAAGGCTTCCAGGAAGAAAAGGGTTGAATATCCTCTGGAAAAAAGGGTTTGAAGGATCCTAAGAAGGGTTTGAAGACCCCCAGGAAAAAAAGGGGTTGAAGACCCCTAGGAACAGTTCAAAGACCCTCAGGAAAAAGGTTTAAACTTCCTCAGAAATGGTTTGAAGATCCCCAGTAAAGGCTTAAAGGCCCTCAGAAAAAGTTTGAAGGCCCTCAGGACAAGATTAGCATAATATTAAAAATGTACCTGTTTTCTTCAGCTTTAATCATTGCTAGAGGAAAAAAAGGAGAAAAACAATTAAAATATAGATTTGTAATAGTTCATATAAACAGAGAGTTCTGGTAATTCTTGATTTAATAAAAGCAAAGTTTTAAATGTTTTTGTTACTATCAAAAATATTAATGTTTGTGTCCTTCAAAGGCGAAATCAATCAAGATTAAAATAAAGTTTAGAAATGCCATTATGGGAAGATTGGGGAATATAAAAATGACAGTTTGGTTTAAAATAATTCTTTTAATTCATAAAAAGGTAGTTCAAAGACCAGAAAGAAAGTCAGGATTATTAAACAGAATTTAAGAAAGGAAATATTTAAACTACTGCTGCCTATTCTTTTTCTCCGCAATTATTCTTTTCCCCCAGCTGATTTTGTTGCTACTTACATCAATAATACAATTAATTAACAAATATTTATAAAAACACAAGTCCAGCAGCCTTTTACCTTCAAGATCCTCCAGCTCTTTGGGTTTTGCCCAGCGAGATTCCTTTGTTTGGGAATTGTAATAATAAGGCTTCCCAGAATCTGATTTATACTCCTTCCAGGGACACTTGGATAACAATTGCTGATGGAGAGAAAACAGATTTTCCAAGGAAAATCTTTAGTAATTCCTTAAATAAGCAATTAGGAACAACATTAAGTGGGATAATTATGAGGCACAAGACTTTTGGTGTATTAAAGTTGCATTCCTGGAGCTCTTTCTTCCTGAAATTTCTTCCTATTAAGGAAAAAAAAAATCAACAAAATTGCAAGTTTTCCCATTTTTTCCTTTGTGGGTTTAGTTTTGCTTAACGTTTATTTTCAGTTCTCAGCTACAAACTTCAAATATTCCTCAGGAAAACAGAAAGATTGACTAAGAAGTGAAAATAAATCACATTGGATCAATTTAATTTGATATTCTCCCAACAAGAATAAACCAGGGGATTTCTCAGGAATTTGTTGTGTATTTTAAGAGCATTAATTTGACCAAAATGGCAATTTTTAGGCGTTTTTTGCTTCTCTTAATTATTTCTCTGTTACTTCTCTAAAAAAAGTGAAAATAAATCACATTGGATCAATTTCATTTGATATTATCTAACATGAATAAACCAGGGGAATTCTCAGGAATTTGCTGTGTATTTTAAGAGCATTAATTTGACCAAAATGGCAATTTTTAGGTGTTTTTTTTCTTCTCTTAATTATTTCTCTATTACTTCTCCAAAAAAAGTGAAAATAAATCACAATGGATCAATTTCATTTGATATTATCTAACATGAATAAACCAGGGGAATTCTCAGGAATTTGCTGTGTATTTTAAGAGCATTAATTTGACCAAAATGGCAATTTTTAGCTGTTTTTTTCTTCTCTTAATTATTTCTCTATTACTTCTCATAGTAATTAAAAAATATACATTTTTAATTAAAAAAACTATTTAAAAATGAGGAAAATGATGAATTTTGGCCAGTTTGCACCTTCAGGTTCTCCCAACATAAGGAGAAAAATCCAAATATTTTAGGAACACTTCTTATTGGAAGAGTTTGCTCCCGTTGCTTCAGGCAGAATTCTCCCTGCTGCAGTTTGGAAATCCTCGTGTTGCCACAACATCCCAGAATTAATTTGGGATTTGGTTACCTCAGCAGGGGTTTTGAGGTCATCTGGCTTCTCCCACGTGGACTGCTTGGTCTCGGTGTTGTAGTAGTAAGTTCTTCCATCCGGGGACTTGTGCTCCGTCCACGTGGATTTCTGGGAACATTCCAAGCCAAATTAATAATAATTAATAATGATGTGAAAAATGGGATGGAATTCCATAAAACCAGCGGGATACAAACCTGCTTGGAGTGCTCCTCGCTGGCAGAGCTGCTGCTGGTGGAGCTCTGCTGGACTGTGGAGACCACGGGATGTGTTGTCTGAGGAGGAGACAAAACAGGGTTTGGGAAATTAATTTCACCCCAATATCCTGGATTTTCCAACTGGTTCAGCAGCACAGGGAGACAAATTCACACATAAAGTCAGTATTTTTCCCAAAAAACTCCTTTTTTGGGAGTGGAGCTGCTCAACTGCCACATTCCCAAGGCCTGATTCCCACCAGGAATCAGTGCAAGCGAAGGGTCAGAGTACAACAAGCCCAAGCCACAATTCCAGCAGCACTCCCTCTTCCCAAATCTTGAGGAAAATTTGTTCCCTGAGCTCACTCACACCACACTTCTGCTGCTTTTCCGTGGCCAGTTTTCCCAGGAATTCCCTGGAATCATCTGCATCCACCTGCTGTGGATCCAGGATTGGATATGGCCAAGGAAAACTGGATTTCCTGACAGGCCAATGGGCATGGAAATAACGTGGATAGCATCTATTTAATAATTAATTAATAACTGGGACAAGGCCCACAGATTTCAAGGAACAACCAAAAACTTGGAAAAATGTAGGGAAAAAGAAAGGGAGGAAAAACTTGAATTAAGGTTTTCCTTTAAACCCCTAAAACCAAGTTTGCCCCACACACAACACTGGAATTCCAACCTTCTGGAATTGTGCTTTCCACATACCTGAGTCCCAGGAGGGGTCACTCCTGAAAAACAAATAATTAAAAATTAATTAAAGGTCTGGTGGCTTCATTTTTCTAAAAATTCCACCATGTGTCCATAGAAAAAAAATGTCCTGGGCATCAATGGAGATTCCAGGATTTAAATGCTCCATTCCATTTTAGGGAAAAGTGGAATTTTTTAATGTTTCAGCTGATTTTGGTTAAGTATTTTGAAATTATATCAAGTTGTTAACTTACCTACTTGTGCATCCATGCTGTTCACGCCTGGCTGTAAAAATAATTAATTAAAACAATTAAACATTTAGACAATTAAATTTAAATAATTAATTCCCAGGGAATTAAGTCCTAAAAAAATTCCAATATTCATTATCCAAACAAGGCCTTTCTGCTACAAAAGGCTAATTCCTTATATAAGGATTCCTGCTTCCCTCTTAATTATTCCTGCTCCTTAAATAACCAATTAGGAACAACATTAAGTGGGATAATTATGGGGCACAAAGCTTTGGGTGTATTAAAGTTGCATTCCTGAAGCTCTTCCAGGTAAAGGAAAAAAAAAAATCAACAAAATTCCAAGTTTTCCCATTTTTTCCTTGTGGATTTAGCTTTGGTTAAGGTTTCTTTTCAGCTCTCAGCTACAAACTTCAAATATTCCTCAGGAAAACAGAAAACTTGGTTAAAAAGTGAAAATAAACCACACTGGATCTATTTGATTTGGTATTATCCAACAGGAATAAACCAGGAAATTCCCAGGAATTTGTTGTGTGTTTTAAGAACATTAATTTGACCAAAATAGTAATTTCCAGGAATTTTAAATGTATTTTAAGAGCATTAATCTGACCAAAATACTGATTTTTAGGAATTTCACTGCTTCTAATCAGCACAGCAAAGGTTTGTGCTCAGCACTACAGGAAATTCCATAGGAATTTAGGGATTTAAATCTGCATGGGAAAAGAAAACATAAAAATAATTTATTTCTTTTTAAGTGAATCTCTTAAGCTCGGACTAAATTTATTTCTTAAGAACAGGATTTAATTAAATTTTTTTCCCCTCAGAGATTTCACCTGTATTTTAACTTTTCCCTCTCCATTTCCACCCACAGAATTTCTCATTCCTTGAGCCATTCCATCCATTTTTATACTCAGCTGAATTTCAGGAACTTCTAATAAAAAAATCTCTTTCTAATGAAGTCAAATCTCTTTAATATTGAATTAAAACTCTTAAAAAAATACAATTTAAGAGAAAAGAATCTCTTTGTCAGACAATTTAACAATCCAAGGTCACAGTAATTCCTGCCAAACCCCAGGAAGTGAAGGATAAGGAATGAAAGGAAAAATAAAAGGAGTTTAAAGACTGATGAAAATCACAAAAATCTTATTTTACAATCATTCGAAAGCTACATAAAACTCCACTGTAATGAAAAATACATTAAAAATTTAAATTCTTATTTTCTAATTAAAGAAAGCAAAGAGTAATCAACAACAACTGCTAAAAAGAGATTTAAAAACTGAAAAAAAAACTAAAGAAAAAAAAAGAAATGAAACTCACAGGAACCGTGGGCTGCATGGCAGCCTGGGACATGTGGGACATCATCATTCCAGGCATCACCGACTGCATCATTCCAGGCATCTGGAATTCAAGAGCATTTCCCATCCATTTTATCATGTTCTCAACACAAAATACAGTATTTCTATTAAAAAGCCATTATTTGATACTTCTTTTTAATTAAAACAAAACAAAACAACCCAAACATCCCTCTTAGGCATGGAAAAATAAATTAGATTTGTGGGATTGTGATTTCTTTCATCCCATTCCCATTAAATTGGGATATTCCTATTAGGAATGGCGTGTCCAGATTCCAAAGTTGGATAAGAAACAACAACAAAAAAAACCCATTTAAACTCCAAAGGAGCAATAGCAGCTGATGTGGGATGTGATCCCATTGCTGAAATCCTGAGAAAGCAGCAAAGGCAAACTGGGAATGATTCCTGCAGAACTCCAAAGCCACGGGGAACAAAGGAACAAAGGAACAAAGGAGAGGAGAACTCCCAGATATGACATTTACCTTCAGCTTTTTGCTCTCCATCAACCAAAAAGTCCTGAGTGGCTCCCTAAAATATGAAATATTGACATATTCCCTGGCTAAGGGTGGGAATTGTGGAAAAGGAGGTACAAAAAAAAAAAAGCAGAGAAATAAACCAGAATTTTGACTTTACTTCCTAATGAGCACACACAGTGCTAATGAGTCAAACCCTCCTCGTTTTTTAAAAATTGTTTTATTTTTACCCCAGAACTGCAAATCCCTACTGAAAAACAAAAATTCCTACCAAGCCTTTGCAGACCAACTGAAGGAAAATATGGATGCTGTGTCCAAGGAATTGCAAAGGAAGAGGAGTTGTCACCACCTTTGGGTTTTTCCCGAAGTTTAATCCTCCCCTGCCATCCCTGCCTCTCTCCTATAATCCACCACCACCAGGAGCATCCCGAGGACATTCAGCATTCCTGGGATATTTATGATACCCACAAGGAGAATTATTTATTTCAGGAGCTGAGGATTTCATCACAAACCACACAGGAAATGTGGTCAGTGAGAAGAAAAGCAGCCCAAAGCAGGGCCACGCTTGTGCCCGTGTCACCTGCCAGGGATTTTCCAATCCCATGGCATCAGGACACAGGGATTGGAAACCAACCTCTAGGATTCCAACAGAAATTCTGCAAAAAAAAATCTGTATTCTTTGTTTCTTCTCTTGCTGTAAACGTTCACACGTGTGGATGTAGGGACTGGCCAAGAATTAAAGGAACGTGAAGTCTCAAGACAAATTTATTCCTTCAAAGTCTACAGGAAACTTTCAAAAAACGTGAATCAATCCCAAATTCTGGATTGAAAATTAGAGGTGCATTAATTATCTGTTCTCATTTAAAATATTCTTGAATCAATCCCAAATTCTGGACTGAAAATTAGAGGTGCATTAATGATCTTTTCTCATTCCAAAAAACTTGAATCGATCCCAATCTATGGATTGATAATTCAAGTTACAGGTGCATCAATTACCTGTTCTCATTCCAAAAAAAAAACTTGAATAAATCCCAAATTATGGACTGATAATTAAAGTTAGAGGTACATTAATTACCCGTTCTTATTCCAAAAAAACCGTGAATAAATCCCAAACTATGGACTGATAATTAAAGTTAGAGGTGCATTAATTACCTGTTCTCATAAAAAAAAAAAAAACAACAAAAAAACCCACTTGAATAAATCCCAAATTATGGATTGAAAATTAGAGGTGCATTAATTATCTGTTTTCATTCAAAAAATTTTGAATCAATCTCAAATTATGGATTGATTAGAACTAAAGTTAGAGGTGCATTAACTATCTGTTCTCATTCCAAAAAATAACTTGAATCAATCCCAAATTCTGGATTGAAAATTAAGAGGTGCATTACATTATTTGTTCTCATTTAAAAAAAAAACTTGAATAAATCCCAATTTCTGGATTGAAAATTAGAGGTGCATTAAATTATCTGCTTCCATTCAAAAAAAAAGACTTGACTCAATCCCAATCTATGGACTGAAAATTAGAGGTGCATTAATTATCTGTTCTCATTCAAAAAATCTTGAATCAATCCCAAATTCTGGACTGAAAATTAGAGGTGCCTTAATGATCTTTTCTCATTCCAAAAAACTTGAATCAATCCCAATCTATGGATTGATAATTCAAGTTACAGGTGCATCAATTACCTGTTCTCATTCAAAAAAAAATCTTGCATCAATCCCAAATTATGGACTGATAATTAAAGTTAGAGGTACATTAATTACCCGTTCTTATTCCAAAAAAACCGTGAATAAATCCCAAACTATGGATTGATAATTAAAGTTAGAGGTGCATTAATTACCTGTTCTCATTAAAAAAAAACAAAACAAAAAAAACCACTTGAATAAATCCCAAATTATGGATTGAAAATTAGAGGTGCATTAATTACCTCCTCTCATTCCCAAAAAAAAAAAAAAAAAACTTGAAAAAATCCCAAATTCTGGATTGAAAATTAGAGGTGCATTAATTATCTGTTTTCATTAAAAAAAAATTTGAATCAATCTCAAATTATGGATTGATTAGAACTAAAGTTAGAGGTGCATTAAATACCTGTTCTCATTCAAAAAAATAACTTGAATCAATCTCAAATTCTGGATTGAAAATTAAGAGGTGCATTAAATTATCTGTTCTCATTCAAAAAAAAAAAAAAAAAAAAACAACAACTTGAATAAATCCCAAGTTCTGGATTGAAAATTAGAGGTGCATTAAATTATCTGTTCTCATTCAAAAAAAACCAACTTGAATAAATCCCAAATTCTGGATTGAAATTTAGAGGTGCATTAAATTATCTGTTCTCATTCAAAAAAAAACCCAAACTTGAATAAATCCCAAATTCTGGATTGAAAATTAGAGGTGCATTAACTATCTGTTCTCATTCCAAAAAAACCCTGAATAAATCCCAAATTCTGGAATGAAAATCAGAGGTGCATTAAATTATCTGTTCTCATTCAAAAAAAAAAAACTGCAATTGCCTTACCTGCCCCATCGGGGGTCCCCCCATGGGGGGCATCATCTGTGGCATCATCCCGTGGGGAACCGGGGGCATGTTGGGGGGTCTCTGCCCCATGGGGTGCATCCCCATCGGGGGGTAGTGCGGCATTCCCGGGTGGCCCATCTGCAAAACACCAACAGCCAGGGAAAAATCAGCAGCACCCCAAACACACCCACCAGGGGGAAAGGGAGATCCCTTCCCAGGGCTTTTCAATGATTCAAACACTCCGAGAGATTTCTGTTCCACCTTAAGATATAACCTGGGCAGAGTTTCCCTTTGGAAAATATATTTAGCAGGAGGAAAAAATAAATTAAATTATTGAACACACAATCCCAGAATGACCCAAATTCCTCCAGTTTCACCCTCTGGGACACCTTCCACTGTCCCAGGTGCTCCAACCTGGCCTTGGACACTTCCAGGGATGAGGCAGCCTGGAATTCCAGCCCAGGAATCCCCATCCTCACAGGAGCTGCTGGAGCTGGAAAAGGGACTGGAGCATCTCTGTGCCAGGAGAGGCTGAGGGAGCTGGGGCTGCTCAGCCTGGAGAGGAGCCCCAGTGAGAGGGGCCCCAGCCCTGGCTGTCCCTGTCTGTCCCTGGGTGTCCCTCAGCATCCCTGTGTTCCCTGTGTCCCCCTGTGTCCCTGGGTGTCCCTGAGCATCCCTGTGTCCCCCCGTGTCCCTGGCTGTCCCTGGGTGCAGGGAAGGCTCCAAGCAGGGCCCAGCAATGGCACCAGAGGAACGGGCAGGGAGTGATGCCCAGAAGTGTGCACAGGAGCAGGAACTCCTTCCTTATGCAGGCACCGGGTGCCCAGAGTGGGTTTGGGGGGCAGGGACTGATACCCAGAAAGCCCCACCTGCACAGGAGCAGGAGCTGCTTCCCTGTGCGGGTGACAGGTGCCCAGACAGGGTTTGGGGGGCAGGGACTGATGCCCAGAGATGGTTTGATAGACAGGCAGTGATACCCAGGAATTCCACCTGCACAGGAGCAGGAACTCCTTCCTTGTGTGGGCGGCAGCTTCCCAGAAAGGGTTTGCTGGATAGGAATTGATGTCCAGGAAGTGTCACCTGGAAGTGCCACCTGGAAGTGCCACCTGCACAGGAGCAAGAACTCCATCCTTGCGTGGGTGACAGGCAAGGAGTGATGCCCAGAAAGTGCCACCTGCACACTACAAAGAACTCCTTCTCTGTGTGGGTGACAGGCAGGGACTAATGCCCTACCTGCACAGGAGCAGGAACTCCTTCCCTGTGCAAATGACAGCTGCCCAGAGAGAGTTTGACAGGCAGGGATTGATGCCCAGGAATGCCACCTGCACAGGAGCAGGAACTCCTTCCCTGTGTGGGTGACAAGCAGGGTCTAATGCCCAGGAATGCCACCTGCACAGGAGCAAGAACTCCATCCTTGCGCGGGTGACAGGCAGGGACTGTTAGTCCCACCTGCACAGGAGCAGGAATTCCTTCCCTGTGCAGGTGCCAGCTGCCCAGAGAAGGTTTGATGGGCAGGGATTGATACCCAGGAATCCCACCTGGACAGGAGCAGGAACTCCTTCCTTGTGCAGGTGACAGCTGCCCAGAGAAGGTTTGATGGGCAGGGAGTGATGCCCAGAGAGGGTCTGACAGGCAGGGAGTGATGCCCAGGAAGTGCCACCTGCACACTACCAAGAAATCCTTCTCTGTGCAGGTGACAGGCAGGGACCAGGAATCCCACCCGCACACTACCAAGAACTCCTTCCCTGTGCAGGTGCCAGCTGCCCAGAGAAGGTTTGACACACAAGGACTGATACCCAGGAACCCCACCCGCCCACCCCCACAACTCCTCCCCTGTGCGGTCACCACCTCCCACCCACGATTTACCCCCCCTCACCGGGACCACCCCGCTCCCCCGGCGCTGCCGCCGGCCGGGAGCAGAGCGGGCGGGCACTGACCATGAGCGAGGCGCGGTCCACGGCGGCGGGCCGCATGGCGGGGCTGAGCAGCGAGCCGCCGCAGCGGCCGAGCAGGCGGCCGCGCAGGGGCGGGCGCGGCGCGGCGGGCCCGAAGGGCAGCAGCGGCTCGGGCTCGCCGCGAGGGGGCAGCAGCGGCGCCAGCAGGCTGACCGGCTTCCCCGCCGCCCAATCAGGGCGCGCCGCCAGCCGCGCGCTCTTCGGTGATTGGTCCGCGCCCGACCCCACCGGCCGCACCGCGTCGCCCGGAGTCAGCTGCATCAGCGGCGGAGGTTTCGGCAGAGAGAACGGTAGAGGCTGCGGGGAGGCGGCGGCGGTAGCGGTGGTGGAGTCGCCGCCGGACATGCTGGCGGGGAGAGGGGAGGCCCCGCGGCGGTGCGGGAGGCTCTGCCCGGAGAGCGGGGCGCGGAGAGGAGCGGCGGCTGCGGCGGCCGAGCGCGGGGCACGCCGGGAGAGCGCTCACGTGGGGCCGGGGGAGGTGCGCGCTGAGCGGGCGGCACCAACAGCGCCGGGAGGAGGGGGTGGTTTCTCGCTCCGCGGTTCCAACTCGGCGGGAGGTGGCGGTAGAGCTCCCCTCGGGCGTGATGCGGGTGGTACGCGCCGGGTTAGTGTACCCCCCCCTCCGGGACGGTGGTACGTGCCGAGCGCGGCCGGGGAGGTTCCGGTTCCCCCCCCCGGGCCGCGGGCAGTGGTTGGTGCCGCTGAGGGGAGCGGCCATTGGGATCGGGAATGGGAACTGGAATGTCACATTGGGAATGTCCCATTGGGAACCGGGAATGTCCCGCTGGGATCGGGAATGGGAACGGAATGTCCCATTGGGAATGTCCCATTGGGAACCGGGAATGTCCCGTTGGGATCGGGAATGGGAACCGGAATGTCCCATTGGGAATGTCCCATTGGGATCGGGAATGGGAACGGAATGTCCCATTGGGAATGTCCCGTTGGGAATGTCCCATTGGGAACCGGGAATGGGAACTGGAATGTCCCGCTGGGATCGGGAATGGGAACCGGAATGTCCCATTGGGAATGTCCCATTGGGAACCGGGAATGGGAACCGGAATGACCCATTGGGAATGTCCCACTGGGATCGGGAATGGGAACCGGAATGTCCCATTGGGAACCGGGAATGTCCCATTGGGAATGTCCCATTGGGAACCGGGAATGTCCCGCTGGGATCGGGAATGGGAACCGGAATGTCCCATTGGGAATGTCCCATTGGGAACCGGGAATGTCCCGCTGGGATCGGGAATGGGAACTAGAATGTCCCATTGGGAATGTCCCATTGGGAATGTCCCATTGGGAATGTCCCATTGGAAATGGGGAATGTCCCATTGGGATCAGGAATGGGAACTGGAATGTCCCATTGGGAACCGGAATGTCCCATTGGGAACCGGGAATGTCCTGCTGGGATCGGGAATGGGAACTGGAATGTCCCATTGGGAATGTCCCATTGGGAACCGGGAATGTCCCGCTGGGATCAGGAATGGGAACGGAATGTCCCATTGGGAATGTCCCATTGGGAACCGGGAATGTCCCATTGGGAACCGGGAATGTCCCGCTGGGATTGGGAATGGGAACCGGAATGTCCCGTTGGGAATGTCCCATTGGGAATGTCCCGCTGGGATCGGGAATGGGAACCGGGAATGTCCCGCTGGGATCGGGAATGGGAACTGGAATGTCCCATTGGGAATATGGGAATGTCCCGCTGGGATTGGGAATGTCCCATTGGGAACCAGGAATGTCCCATTGGGAATGTCCATTGGGAACCGGGAATGTCCCATTGGGAATATGGGAATGTCCCATTGGGAATGTCCCACTGGGAACCGGGAATGTCCCATTGGGAATATGGGAATGTGCCATTGGGATCTGGGATCTGGAATGTCCCATTGGGAATGGGGAATGTCACATTGGGAATCAGGAATGTCACACTGGGAATGGGGAATGTCCCATTGGGAATCAGGAATGCCCCATTGGGAATCGGGAGTGTTGCACCAGGATCGGGAATGTCCCACTGGGATCGGGAATGTCCCGCTGGGATCGGGACGCGCTCCAGGAGCTCTGGCAGCCTCAGCTTCTCTGGGAATTCCAGCCCACCCTCCCAGCCAGAATTCCCAATTCCCAAAATCCCTCCCAGCCAGGAATTCCCAATCTCCCTCCCAGCAGGAATTCCCAGTTCTGTGGGATAAATGAATTTAAGTGGGAATGGCTTGGGATATCCAGGGAATGATCTCTGCCCCCTTGGCATGTTTATTTATCCGTGGTTTTTTTTGTGTTTTTCCAGAAATTTTGATAGAGCATCCAATCCTTCATTCTTCTTCCTGATCCTGGAGGAAACTTCTGCTTTTTAACCTGGATTTTCAGGCAGGATTTGTAGGAAATACAGAACTCCAAAATTTAAAAAATTTGTAATACAAATTCTGAAATAGAGAATTTTGAAATAAAAATTCAGAAATACAAATTTCAGAATTGCAGATTCTGAAAATAGAAATTCTGAAAATAGAAATTCTGAAATAAAAAATCTGAAATAAAAATTCTGAATTGCAGATTCTGAAAATAGAAATTCTGAAATAAAAATTCTGAAATAAAAAATCGGAACTGAAAGTTCTGAAATAGAGAACTTTGAAATGTAAATTTGAAAACGCAAACTCTGAGATAAAAACCCTGAGACACAAATTCAGGAATAAAAATCTATGAAATAAAAACTGAAGTAAAAATTCTGAAATAAAAGTCAGGAACACAAATTTTGAAATAAAACCCCTGAAATTTAAATTCTGCAACGCAAATTCTGAAGTATGGAATTCTGGAATATAAGATATTTGGGACAATGAGCTCTGGAATTCCCTTTCCATGGAATTTTACCTGTTAGCTGGAATATATTGAACCAGTGATCTTTATTTTTTCTCATAGAAAAACTTTTATTCCTGTAAACTCAATATAAAATTGCTCTCCGGTGTTTCCCAGGATTTCTTGTGGAAAGGCAGAGAATTCCAGGCGAATTCCTGGAGCGGCCAGCAGGGAGAGGGCTCGCACCGGGAATCTCGGCCTTGTCCCGGAATCCTGAATCAGGACAGAAAGGAGAGGACTGGGAAATGGATTTTTCGTTTCCCATCCCTCTGGAATTCTGGCATTCCCGGGAAAAGGCGGTTTGGCTGCCGGAGGCGGGAGCGGGGGGTTCCGTGGGCACAGCGGCGCTCCAGGAGAGCGGAGCTGCGGCTCCAGCCCCAACGGGGAACCGCGCCCGGGGCATTCCCAAAGCCGGGATCCATCCAGCGGGATCCATTCCGCGGGATCTGTCCAATGGGATCCAGCGGGATCCATCCAGTGGGACCCATGCAACAGGATCCAGCAGGATCCATCCAATGGGATCCAGCTCTATCCACCCAGCAGGATCCATTCAGCGGGATCCATCCAGTGGATCCATGCAACAGGATCCAGTGGGATCCATGGAACAGGATCCAGCAGGATCCATCCAGCGGGATCCATCCAGTGTTGGATCCATGCCACAGGATTCAGTGGGATTCGATCCTGTGGGATCCACTCAGCAGGATCCATCCAGTGGGATCTATGCAACAGGATCCACTGGGATTCCATTCAGTGGGATTCGATCCTGTGGGATTCCACCCAGTTGGATCCACCCAGCGGGATCCATCCAGTGGGACCCATGCAACGGGATCCATGCAACAGGATCCACTGGGATTCCATTCAGTGGGATTCGATCCTGTGGGATTCCACCCAGTGAGATCCATCCCGCAGGATCTGTCCAGCGGGATCCATCCAGTGGGATCCATGCAACAGGATCCAGTGGGATTCCATTCAGTGGGATTCAATCCTGTGGGATTCCACCCTGTGGGATCCACCCAGCAGGATCCATCCAGTGGGATTCATGCAACAGGATCCAGTGGGATTCCACCCAGTGGGATCCACCCAGCAGGATCCATCCCGCGGGATCCGTCCAGCAGGATCCATCCAATGGGATCCAGCAGGATCCATCCAGTGGGATCTATGCAACAGGATCCAGTGGGATTCCATTCAGTGGTATTCGATCCTGTGGGATTCCACCCAGCAGGATCTATCCAGTGGGATCCATGCAACGGGATCCATGCAACAGGATCCACTGGGAATCCTTTCAGTGGGATTAGATCCTGTGGGATTCCACCCAGTGGGATCCACCCAGCGGGATCCATCCCGTGGGATCCGTCCAGTGGTATTCCATCCAACTGCATCCAGTGGGATCCAGCAGGATCCATGCAACGGGATCCAGCAGGACTCGATGCAGTTGGATCTAGTGGGATACATCCAGGGGGATCTATCCAGTGGGATCCCATGGTATTCTATCCAGTGGAATCCAGCAGGATCTATCCAGTGGGATCCCATGGTATTCCATCCAATGGGATCCCATGGGATTCGATCCAATGGGATCCAGCAGGATTCTATCCAGCAGGATCCATCCAGTGGGATCCAGGGGGATTCCATCCAGTGGGATCCAGTGGAATTCCACGCAATGGGATCCAGCAGGATTCAGTGCAGTGGGATCCAGCAGGATTCAATCCAGTGGGATCCAGCTGGATCCATCCAGTGGGATCCAGTGGGATTCACTGCAATAGGATCCAGCGGGATTTGCTGCAGTGGGATCCAGGGGGATTCCATCCCGTGGGATCCAGCGGGGGGAAGCTAGAGCTGCCTTCCCTCTGGGCTGGTTTTTCCCGGCAGCTCCGCCTCCAGCAGATTTAGCTGGTTGTTTTTTTGGTTGGTTGGGGTTTTTTTCCATTAGAGCTCATAATTTATTTAGGAATTGCAGCGATTTGGGGTTTTTAAGTGGTTCTGTGGGGAGGGCGGGGCTCTCCTTTCCTTTAAGGAGTGTCAGGATGTCTGAATCCATGGATTCAGCGCCTCACCCTTTGGAAAGAAACTGCAGGGAGCTTTTCACCGTATCCCTCAAATATTTTTTTGCAATTATTTCTTCCTCTGATGAACTTGTTTTTCATTCTTTAGCTCATGAAAATCAAATTTCCCAGCAGTGAATTTTCCTTATAAATTTCCTGTGGGATTGGGTTTTCTGGATGCTGCAGTATTCCCTATGGGAACGTGTTATCCCAGGCGTGTTCTGCACCCACTTTTCATCCCAGAAAACATCAGGCCACAGCTGGATTGTCACCAGCCCAGTGCAGGGAAAAGTCAAAAGGCTAAATCCAGCTTCTTTTCCTGGAAAGAAAGGCTGAATCTGAGGATTGATAATTCCTAGGGGATGTTTCATGTGATGGAAAGAGTGGGAATTCCTCTGGGAATGAGGTGTCACCTCTGGAGGGGTCTGGAATGTCCCTGGAGTCCATTCAGGAGATCTATTTGAGGGAATCTGGGAGCCTGGAAAACTCAGGATCTGGGGAATTCCTCTTTTTAACAGCTCAGGAAGGTGAGAATTTGAGGAATGGGCACCATGAGGAGCAGCACATC